CAGACAGATGGACTTTACAAACCTAAGGTCCCCTTCAACTCTGTTGGTAGGGGACTAAAAAGCAATGTAACTAGAGGCTGTAAAGAGACTGTGTCGCTCACCTTGGTCTATATGCATATTCAACAAAGGACACTCTCCAACATTGTAGACGAGAATAGAATTAATGACAAAAATCGTTTTATCTTATATTGCTGATCATTTTGTCTGTTTAGTTTCTCTCTATCTTATTTAGTTTTTGCTAATTTTTTCCTAATTTAAGGGCAATCACTCCTATAAAGAGTGACAGTCTACTAACTATAAGGGCTTAAGTTTCTACCTATCTATTATAATTTTTATCATATAAGGCATAACACAAAAAAAATGGTAAAAATCATCATTAAAGGGCTATCACTACAATAAGGAGTAGTCAGACGATTTCCGCCATTTGTCATAATTGTGGATCTTGTCTTGCTGAACATTTTTGTTTATTTAAGTTTCTTTCTATATATTATAATTTTTAAAGATATAAGGCAAAAACGGAAAAAAATTGTATAAATCGTCATCAAAGGGCAATAACTCTAATAAGGAGTCAACTGACGATTTCAACCATTAGACTTGCTTGTAGAATTTGTCTTTCTGATCATTTTTGCATTTTAAAGTTTCTCTCTATCTATTATAGTTTTCAAGATAATAGGCAAAAATGAAAAAAAAAAGGTTATTTAAGGGCAATAACTCTGATAGAGAATCGTCTGACAGTTTTGACATATATGCACAATTGGTAGAGCTCAGCATTTTGAACATTTATACCTTGTCAGATTTTCTCTATTTAAAACGGTTTTCAGAAAAATAGACAAAACTTGCATTTTACCCATATATTCTTTTTTTAGCCATGTCAGCCATCTTGGTAGGCAGGTGGGGTCATCGAACACATTTTTTAAACTAGATGCCCCCCCATGATGATTGTGACCAATTTTGGTTAAATTTGGCCAAGTAGTTTCTGAGGAGAATTTTGTAAAATTTGACAGTAGACGTCGACGGACACCAAAGTGATGAGTAAAGTTCACATGGCCCTTTGGGCCAGGTGAGCTAAAAAAGAAGGTTAATATTTCCTTCTTCTAAAATATCTGAAAAACTTCCTTGTCATGTGATGAAACTATAGATTTTTTAAATATTCCTAGTGGTTTAATTCAAGGACTACTTTTGGTTCCCAAATTAATAACTTTAAAGCTACTTACCCCTTCCTCTTCACCTTCTATGCCATACTCATCATAAATAGACGATTCATACTGCTCCAACAGTTGTGAAAATAATTGTGGAGAGTAGCCTGCAGGTAAAAATATTATCAATACATGTTACAGAAGAAAAGACAACAATATGACTTCCCAAATTTGTCAGAACTTTTCTGCCATACTGCAGTATAACATTTCATATTTGTACAAATGTGTGCTTTTCATCCAACTGATAAAATTTTACAAAATGTAAAACTTTCTGCCAATATTACTCAAACTATTTCAGATTGTCACTTGGTATTCTGATCATCAAAGTTTGACAATACATTTTACACTGCACTATGCTTGTGTTTACTATTCTGTGTTGCCATTTCTTCACTTTTTATTTGTTAGTTTGAGAAAAGATGTGTACAACAAAGAATTGCAGCTAAAATTTTGCTCATTAATAAAAATTGATCTATGAAACATGTGAAACCTATAGATTCAAAATTTTCATTTGGCTATTCTTTTAAGGTCCCTTTTGGTAATATATCTCCTCAAGTATTCATTTATACATCACTGATTCAAATTTTTGGGTTTGAGCATTCCTGATGAAGGTAAATCCAGGAAAGTGCTTTAGATGCACCAAATTCATAGTGTAATTTTCATTTTCTACAATGTAGCATTGGGTCTAAACCTCTACTAGAAGATTTCTAGTCACCAAGGGTATTATCAGAATTCTGTGCTTTTGTACTGTCTTGATTTATCATTCTCTGTTGATATATATAGATTTAGAAATTATTAAGAAAGCTTTTAAATCGCTCTGGCAAAGTTGACCTTAGGTTATTTGAATATTATTTTTGTGTCCCTTTTGTTTATATACATGTAGCTTCTCCTAGTAATCAAGAATTTTCACATCAATCACTTGGGTTTGAGTTTTCTTGATGAACATTAAGCCAGAAAAGTGCTTTGGATGCACAAAATTTACTAGTGTTATTTTCATTTATTTCAATGCTTGTAAAACAGACACATACCACAAGAAAAAAAACCTTGCATAGAAAAAATATCTGTATAGGTCCAGAAGCAGGCAAATACATATAACAAATATAATTCTTCACAAAACCATATGTAACAAATCATATATCTTATATACTAAATGTATAACAAGATAAATTCCACTGTGTAGACCATAACCATGATAACTCTGACAACACACATATTGATACACATAACTACATTGTAATATATTTCTTAGTATTTCATAAGCTTTTTGTTTAAAGTACACCACTTCTTTTGTAATTTTTGAACACACATTTTGCCTCATACTGTAAAGAAACAACAGAATGTATCATGTTTGTGTTGTAATGTTACATTTTATTTAACAGATATATATGTCAGAGGTGTTTGTTCATGTTAGATTAAAATACTCAAACTTTTGTTTTAAACAGAGTACTCTCAAAATCATAATTTATTTTGTATATCAATTTTCTCTCTCTCATTTGATTCAAAACCTTAGTAACAATGTCATTTTTCCCTGTGAATATCTCATTTTATTATTTCTATTAATCTGAGGACAACCCATGCCAATCTGCCCCTGGACAATAGAAGTAGAAGACTGTCTTGCAATTGAAATTTTATCAAGAGCTATTTGAAAGAAAAGTATTGCAATTAATATGTTGTGCTTCCCTAGAGGGTTTATAAAATTGAGAATGGAAATGGGGAATGTGTCAAAGAGACAACAACCCGACCACAGAAGAGACAACAGCAGAAGGCCACCAACAGGTCTTCAATGCAGCGAGAAATTCCCGCACCCGGAGGCGTCCTTCAGCTGGCCCCTAAACAAATATATATACTAGTTCAGTGATAATGAACGCCATACTAAACTCCAAATTGTACACAAGAAACTAAAATTAAAAATAATACAAGACTAACAAAGGCTAGAGGCTCCTGACTTGGGACAGGCGCAAAAATGCGGCGGGGTTAAACATGTTTATGAGATCTCAACCCTCCCCCTATACCTCTAGCCAATGTAGAAAAGTAAACGCATAACAATACGCACATTAAAATTCAGTTCAAGAGAAGTCCGAGTCTGATGTCGGAAGATGTAACCAAAGAAAATAAACAAAATGACAATAATACATAAATAACAACAGACTACTAGCAGTTAACTGACATGCCAGCTCCAGACTTCAATTAAACTGATTGAAAGATTATGTCTTCATCATATGAATATCAGGCACAATCCTTCCCGTTAGGGGTTTAGTATCATACCATCATAACATATATGAGAAGAACATAACCCGTGTCATGCCAACAACTGGTTATGTTTATGCTTAGTAAGGCCACCAAGACATAACAATGGTTTACATGTATGCTGTAACAATTATTTATAAAATTTATTGATTTTGTCTTGGCAAATCCTGTACACTGTATGTAAATCAGTTTTTAGCAACATATCATATTCACACGATTCATGATATTTGTTAGTTTTTTCATGATAACTTTGCCAATAATAAAAAAATAAACATAAGCCAAATGCGATTTAGAGCTTAAAATATATCATGTAAATAAAGGCAACAGTAGTATACCGCTGTTCGAAACTCATAAATCGATAGAGATAAAAACAAATCCGGGTTACAAACTAAAACTGAGGGAAACGCATCAAATATAAGAGGAGAACAACGACACAACAAAAACACAACATTAAAATGTAACACACACAGAAACGAACTATAATGTAACAATGGCCATTTTCCTGACTTGGTACAGGACATTTTAAGAAAAAAATGGTGGGTTGAACCTGGTTTTGTGGCATGCCAAACCTCCCGCTTTCATGGCAATGTTAAATATAACATTAAAATGACAACATTACATGACATGACTACAATACAAATAAATGGGAGAACATATAGGACAAAGAAACACACGAATAATAGCTAACAAAAGGTACTAGGTTTAAAATTTATTACGCCAGACGTGCGTCTCACCCACACAAGACTAACCAGTCACGCTCAGATGAAAAAAGTTTGAAAGCCAAAACAAGTACAAAGCTGAAGAGCACCGAGGACCAAAACTTCCAAAAAGTTGCGCCTAACACGGCCAGGATTTTCTGCCTGGGACAAAAACATCCTTATTATTTAGAATAATTTATACTTTTGCAAACAGTAAATTTTATAAAATGACTATATAATGGATATACATGATAAAACCGAAGTGGGGACTAACTACAGAATAAAAACGGATACATTACATAAAACAACTTAATCCAACACATAAAAATACACTGCCGAGTTAGCCAAAGCCTCAACGCACAAAGTGACATCACATTTGAAATTCTAAAAAAACACACAAAGTGACGTCACATTTCATTTTGAATTTGTAAAAATATTTACCAAAAATAAGATAGAATTAGGATTGATACAAGATTAGATTTGTAATACTGACATTACATTTATTAATAACAATGAAAATTACAATACTATTATCAAATTGTGGTAGTATTTAGATAATTAATTGTATTATCTAGCTATGTCGGTGTTTCTTCTGAATCAAACTGTAAACCAATTATATTGTATAAATATCGTCGAACCAAACTAAAATCTAATAAATGGAGGGGGTTATTAATTATCTTTACCATAACACACGAATATAACAGAAAAGACGTTAAGACATTTGACAAAATCCAACGAGAATAACAAATATAACATCAAAATAAAATACATGAATTCTGAAAGATACAGTATTTTAGCATCTTTAGAAAAAAACAAAAAAAAACAAAAAAAAATAACGTGTTGCCAGCTAGGTGACTTTTCCGTTTTATTGGTTTCTTTTGGGTGTTGTGTCTCATTGATGTACAAGGTATACCCTACATAATCAGTGATTATGTACATTTAAACGAATAACTGGATATCTGATTTCTTGTCAATTTATGAATAATTTATTGGCAAATAATGACATTTTGTTGACCTTATAATATCACTCTGTAATTCCAGTTTATCCAAACAGTACATAACACATTGTTTTTTAACATGAGAGTATTGGTATGTTCTATGTAAAATGTCAATCACATGCATATAATGACATCCCTTATCTATGTATTTTTCTTTACTACATTCTTCCTTTAAAATATGAAGTATTGTTTTCTCTAAATCACAATCTTTACGCAATACTTCAAACACTTTATCGTTTTCAATCCTTCTGCAAAGAAAGCCGTCGTCTTCTAAAGAAATCAAAACTTCCTCAATACATTTGTGTAGCATTTCTGAATTGAGTCTATTCCTTATTGCCTCCAAACTTTCTAATTTTAATGCCACATGTGCAGTAACCTCTACAATATCTGATGATTGTAAATGTCCATATAGTGTGGTTTTTACCTCCTTCATATCATTTGTATTTAAATCATTCTCATCAGCTTTACTCATTAACTTTTTTGCAACTTTCCACGGTAGTTCAAATGGTTTATCATATTTCATTTGGTACAATTTAGGCAATTCCATCATCCGAAAGACTTCTAACATTGGATCACTTACAAGTTGATGATTTGCTGCTACAATCTGTCTTTTCTCTCGAAATATACTTATTTTCCCACGAACATGAATAACACAGCCCAAAGTATAGCCACTGAATTCTTCAGTTTTATCTAAAGATTTGAACTTCCTTTGTAATTCAACAGGAAGCTTGCACATATCGTTTCTAACATTTTCATAGTGTTTGTCCGAGTATGAAAATTTCCAGCAACTGCAAGAAACTACACCTGTGCCATCATCCACTTCATACATAAAACATTTAGAATTCTGATCTACTTTTACGATTACACCTACTACATCTACTTTGTATACTGGATGATTTTTGTACATGTATGCGCCAGGGAACATTGGATATTCACTCATGGATAAAATATCAGAAACAAACATTTTATTGTATGTCTGGAAATAGAAATCCAATCCCCAGTTCTCTTCTGAGTAAAATTGTAGAGTGCTGCTGTCTTTTGAGCCTGGTGTATCTATTATTGATGCCATTTCAAAAGGTTTATGTTGTTATCTACAACCAGTTCTGAAAATATATATTTGGGTTCACTTCCTAAGGAATCAGTTCCAGCAAAATACTTAAATACCAGGCATACAGGTAACAATTAGCAAACACTGTAATCATGATAATGTTTAAGCTTAATGTTTTATGGCATTACTTTCTGCTATAATAAAGGATTTAAAATTAGCACAGATTACAAATATACATGTCAATATTCTTTATAAAGCACAAAAATGTCAGTATTCACCTCTGAAGCTAACAAAACCTTTAAATAGATTTATTAAGAAGGGATATAGTTACGATACTGTTGTCAGGTCATTAAAGATTGCATATTTTGGCGTTAATATTGATTCACTTATAGGGTCTTTGCATCGGCACTAAACACATTTATTTAAAAACCAGTTGTTGGCATGACACGGATTATGTTCTTCTCATATATGTTATGATGGTATGATACTAAACCCCTAACGGGAAGGATTTTGCCTGATATTCATATGATGAAGACATAATCTTTCAATCAGTTTAATTGAAGTCTGGAGCTGGCATGTCAGTTAACTGCTAGTAGTCTGTTGTTATTTATGTATTATTGTCATTTTGTTTATTTTCTTTGGTTACATCTTCTGACATCAGACTCGGACTTCTCTTGAACTGAATTTTAATGTGCGTATTGTTATGCGTTTACTTTTCTACATTGGCTAGAGGTATAGGGGGGGGTTGAGATCTCATAAACATGTTTAACCCCGCCGCATTTTTGCGCCTGTCCCAAGTCAGGAGCCTCTAGCCTTTGTTAGTCTTGTATTATTTTTAATTTTAGTTTCTTGTGTACAAATTTGGAGTTTAGTATGGCATTCATTATCACTGAACTAGTATATATTTTTGTTTAGGGGCCAGCTGAAGGACGCCTCCAGGTGCGGGAATTTCTCGCTGCATTGAAGACCTGTTGGTGACCTTCTGCTGTTGTCTGTTCTATGGTCGGGTTGTTGTCTCTTTGACACATTCCCCATTTCCATTCTCAATTTTATGTATAATCGTATCATTGTACTCAGCACAAGTGTAATAAATATGAATCACAACTGTTACCAATAAAAATATTGACAGAAAAATTCACTAATCTGTCAGTCTCCATCAACCATGTGATATATATATATACATGATATATATGTAGATTTAAAGAACCTTTAGTAATCAAGCTTATATACCCCGTGTGCCAAATAAAAGGGGGAAGATTTGATAGTATCCAGCAGGCATGGTCTTTTTTCTTGCTTTTAGGTATGATTCATCTCTGTTATGATTTCAACACTCATATTGCATTTTTTGTATTTGCATTTATTTTTTTGGAAACTATCATATAAACATGATAAATAAGAAGATGTGGTATGAGTGCCAATGAGACAACTATCCATCCAAGTCACAATGTGTAAAACGTAAATAATTATAGGTTAAAATACGGCCTTCAACACGGAGCCTTGGCTCACACCTAACAGCAAGCTAAAAAGGGCCCCAAAAAGACTAACTAGTGTAAAACAATTCAAACAGGAAAAAAGGGTCAGGAAACGGTCATATTTGCCAGTCATGTCCTAAACTGAATGCTATTTGTCCTAAACAGCAAATTGGGATTTAGGACTAATTATATTTTTTTACAGAAATAATTTCGGTCATTTCATTGAGATTGGGTTTCTTTAACGCCACAAAAAAGAAATGTGCTTTATTTACTATGTAATACGCATGCGTGAAATTGTCTTCAACAGATTAGACACTTAATCATAAAATGCAATATGATATCATGTTAAATTAAACGAATGCAACTATTGTCTGTATTCAAACACATTTAAAGGTAATAAAATAAAAAATCCCGCATTACTAGTGCTTTACTCATGTTAGTATTGTCGTGAAAATTCCGGTTATAGTTTCATCTTCAAAGGCGAAAAAAGTGTTAGCAATGTCTGTGAAATTTACCATTTTGAGTCATTAAAATCATTTCAATTTTAAACTGTTGCATTCCAATAACTGTTCTTGAACGTTTTTTGAGAAACAGTGAGAAAATTTATGAATTAAATGGGATGAAACAGTCAACACAAGTTCGTTGAATCTAGTGTGAATAATTTCGACAGTTTGAAAAAAGGGGCCCAACTTTTAAATCATCTCAAAATGACCGAAATTGTGTGAAAATTTTTTCGGATCCTTGGTGGTGTCCATGTAAAATACACGTTCAAGCTGTGGTAGTTGGTTAAAATTTTCCTAAATAGAATTAACATGCCTGATAAGGTATCAAGTCATTTCAAGTGGGCAGCCAAAATCAGCCAAAATCAGATAAAATACTCTGGAATCCAAATTCCAAATGGGATAAAATTAAATCACACATGCCAACTTTAATATGAAAATCTCCATTGGAGTTTTAAGACATGACTACATTTTTGAGGTTAACAATGTTGCATGCATTTTTTTTTTATCTCTAATCTGCTAATAGTGTCATATCTCTTCTATTTTACTATGGTATACTGATGAGCTAATTAGCTTTTTTCTTCCTTTTTATTTGCATGGACTTATTCAATTGTGCAGAAAAATATAAGTACGTAGAATACCAGCAAGATCTTTTCTTATGTACCTGTATAATTGACTATTGACCTTTTCCAAATTTTTAAAGTTGGCACATAACAACATTTGTCTGATTCCTTGTAAAAAGACAATAGTTTTAATTATATAATAAGTTGATAATTTTTTAATAACTAACACTTTTATTATGAAAACAATATAAGGATCAGTTACAATTATTGTAATATCCATATAATCTTTGCTTGTTTGAAATAGAATTCCAGGATAATTTTTGTTTCAAAGTGTGACATTTTTCTATGCACGTGCCTAGTTTTTTACACAGGCGAATTCAGCAAAAAGTCAACCACGCTGTTCTAGTTTGACCCCCAGACACCCTGATGAAAACCTATTGCAACTTGACAGTTGACATCATTTTATATTGATGTTTTTATGCAGCTATGTGGTATTGATCCCAACAATGTATAGAGTTTAAAACAGACTATCTCAGAACTTGTGTATACATGTAACTCAATTGATCTGGAGATGAAACCGTGATCAAAGGTAAATCATATTTTTATCTCAAGACAATTTAAAGTACATGAGTGACTATCCAGTGCCTGTGTCAAGAGCAAAATCTACAGATAACTGATAACAGAAAGGAAAGACAGATTTTGATCAGTTGAATAAGGTTGTCTCCTTTGAGAAAAGTGAAAATCAGGCCAATTTCTACATGTAGATTTTCAAAAATCCTGATTTTTGTGCAATATTCTTGGTCATGATTGTGCAAAAATGACATCTAAGAAGTCAAAATCATGTAGTGTAGGCCTACATGGTGAAAATTGGCAGAATCATATTCAGTTCTGGAAATCTACAAATTTGGTAACGTTAACGAATTGGGTAACCGTTACCAAATTTATTAACTGAACCATAAGCGAATTTGTTAACTTCAGTGTTTATTTGGTTTTGGCATTTTCAAATAAAAAACGGCATGCTGGGAAAAAATCTAGCTGGAACTACAGACAAATTTCTAGAATTCTTCCTGGTAAAATTAAAATCTATCTACGGGTTGATAAAAACTGACTGATCAAACATGTGAAATGTTCCAAAATCCATATCATTTTCATATTTATTTATAAATGCCAAAACCAAATAAACACTGAAGTTAACGAATTCATTAATGGTTCAGTTAATTAATTCAGTAATGGTTACCCAATTCGTTAACGTTACCGATCTCAGAGATTTCCAGAACTGTGTTGGCTGTAATATAAAATAAATTCAGAATTACATGTATGACCAAGACTCCAGATTAATGATCATTAGCCATTATTTCCCGGAGGCATTAATATGGTTATTTAGGAGAGCCCTCAAGATTATCACACTATATTGGACAAGTTTAGGCATACCATATGCAACTATTTCAGTCATAGTTACGTTCGATAACTCTGCATGTTACTGGTTTAATAAGAATTATGTCAAATTTACTGGTTACCTGTGTGATTAGAAAATTGAAAAATATAGATATTTCACATCGGTTACCATCCATTCGAGGTTTTCTTTTATTGATATAAAATAATAGCATAAATTAATATCATTATAAGAATCGAACAATACTAATCTACATGTACACAGGTCTTGTCAAAACTTACATCGTGATTAGGTGCCATGATTGTTTTCTTTGATCACGTTGATGACTTAATATCTCCTTAATCTAGCTATGTCCTTGGGTATTATTAAAGTGACAATAACATGTCATACTTAATTGCAATATCAACAGTGAAATCAAATTGAATCATTTGAATGGGTAAAATTAGTGTCGAACATCTTCTACGTTTGAAAATTATTTGGTCACCATTTTTTACGTAGTTTCAAAATTTTTAAAAAAAAAACAGTATGTATCCACTTTAACAAAGAGAAACAATGTTTGATTCTATGCTGCTATAAGGTAAGACAATTACTGAAAACGCATGCATCCAACATTTATTCGATTTTCATCGTAAATATCTAACAAAATATATGTTCACAAGTCGGCCCAAGCTGTCAATGTAAACTGCATGGTTAATGCATATAAATCTTTATTTTGAGTGCGAGAGACTGTTTCTAATAAATATATTAAAGAAAAGGTGAAATAAGAAATTTCTTAAATACAATAAGACACACTTCAATAAAAATTTGAAATATTACTTTTTGATTAATAACTAAATGAATACCGGCATGTCGAGTCGTTATTTACTGTTCCAACAGCGGCCGCCATGTTAAAAATATTGCTAACGAATGCCAAAATGTCAACTTTTCAATCAAATTTTGAAGCAAAAAGTTTGATACCTAAACTGATATGGTTTTCTATTTCATTTATATGAAAATGTTGTTGATCGTTTTAGGGGTTGGGAGGATATTAGTTACAATAAATAAGTTGAGAAAATTGATTATATAATAAGGTCCCATTGCAATTTTATCGAGTTTTAACAAAGAAGTCAACGGAGGCTGGGTGGTTATATATGTCACCACAATTTTCAAACTTATTTTGACGCAAGAACTCATATATCTGAACTAAAACTTAAAACATTTTTAATTGTAAAAATGAATATACTGTAAAACGCGGGGTTGGGAGGTAAAATACACAATGTAACAAAAAAGTTATGACCGTTTAATCTATGTTCCCCGATCATTTTCATTGATAATCAATCAGCCATTAATGATATACAACTGAAGCGTAAAAGTCACGTGATGACCGCTATAGTTGGATATGATGGTGAAAATTGGCAGAATCATGTTGGCTGCAATAAAAAAAAATCAGAATTATCACCAAAACTCCAGGCCCGTTTTGGAAAAAATCTAATTAGCAGTGAAAATATCAGTCTAGTTTCAATGGCATTGTTAAGAAATAGAATAACTTTTCCATTTCTGATTTCATATATTTATAAGTGCATCATCAGACATCATATATAATTTCTTCATTTGATATGGGAATGGGATACTGATAGTCAGTCTCTTTAAGACTTTAGATAAAAATAGGATTTTGAAATCATTTTAGGCCATGGCCTAAGTTTGTAATTTTGTATTTTTCTTGATCGTCTGGTGTCATTAACTTACATTTTATTCCTAATTTTCGACTGTTTTCTAAGAATTTTAACAGCATTTTCTATATATAATTTTCCGATCTCCCGCCAAATATTCCTTGTCAGAAAAATGTTTTCAGGCAAATACTTTAAGATTAAAGCTTCATTATAACCCAGACAATATAATAAAAGAAAAAATAATGACGGATTTTAGAACCGGAAAATTAAATACATATATTTTCTTTCATGATTGTCGTTTAACAACATTCACATTTCATCATTCTAATAAAAATAAAAAATGTTTACCCGATAAGAAAAATATTTTCACTGATTTAACAGATCAAAGTAAAAATAGGAAAAAAGGGGGGTTAAATGTTGACTTCCGGCGATCAGGAAGGATCGAGAACCAACGTGAACAAGCAAGCCTAATCTGAACCCATCAACATCATCTTTGACAAAATTTCAACAGTTTATTCAGTTTAAAGTGAACTAAAATGAAGGGCAAATCAGGACCTTCGAATAATGCCTCAAGATCTCTGTACAAAGACAAAGAAAAGCCAACTCAAATCCGTTACAGCAATATAACGGCAGCAAAGGGTTTGTTTACATTAGTTACATTCTTTGAATACACTTTATGTCACAAGAATGATGATTTGTGTATTAAACCCTACTAAATGTCGTTAAATACTATGGTGTGCATGTGAAAAATCTCTTTATCTGCAGACAAATTTGTGCAAGGAAAAAGTAGAGATGTCAAAGTGCAGTGTGACCAATTTGTAGGAGAAAAAACGTTTCCCCTTAAATTATTCTTCAGTGTCTCAATAGGAGAGATGTCGGTGTGTGGCTCAGCGGTTATGAATGCTGGCTACATTACTGAAGGTCCCATGTTCAATCCTTACTGGGCCTTGCAAATTTTAGTACATCAGAAGTGTGATTTTCACCCTCTCTCACACATCTTCCTCCACCATATTAACAGACTTCCTGGTGTCCTAACACTCCCTTGGGGATTGTCCGTGCCAGGTGCAGTCTGCACCAAAACCTTTTCCGACTTCTAGTCCAAAAACCAATATTCTAATATTTTTGACTGCAGGTGGTGGGTTGTATATAAGTTCGTGACACATCTCTATTAATCCTTATAGGAAGTGCACACAGATTCCACTGTACATGTACCCTCGCAGCTCTCGTGGAGGAATTTACGTACATAGACCAAAGACAACTGTTTTGCAAACGTCATTAGGTCAGTTGTCACACTGGGTCTGCTTCATTTGTTCAAGTTTGAGCTACAGTACGGGTAGAGACTTATTATTATGGATGTCTTAATCCGTCTAGATGTCAGACTGGTCGGACAGTTGTCTTAGTGTAATTAACACCTGCTGTGATATTAACCTGTACAATATCCGAGTGGAAGGTCGTAAATCAATCTGTACCAGCTTGATTAGAATTAAATTTTACCTGTACAGATATTTTAGTATTTATGGAGGATAGATGATAAATGTAAAATATTGTTTTGTATTCAAAGAAAAAATTACAATAAAAATAAAAATTTAATATCATGAATATGGGATCAACTTTTTTTTTCTTGAAAATGAAAGAAAGACGATTTTTAACAATGACTGTAAAAATGTGTTGCCAATTATAATAATTGTGTTTGTGCCAATAAACTATTTGTATTTGTAAACCGTAAACATTTCATTTTATTCAAAATTATAACAACCAGGACTGTTTTCAATCGAAGTTTTAATCAAAATGTTGAGACATCAATCCCGTAAATTATACGAGTTTTTGTTGATGGTTACAATATGTCCCCCTTTTAACGTCCTGTTCCTTTATGTTATTAATAGAAACACAATTTTAAGTATAAGGCCAACAAATAGTATTTATAAAGTATATAAACAAATTGAATATAGGCATTGTGAATAAACTGTTATTTTCCTTTCGATAACACGTTCCCCGTCGGAGCCTCTACGTCTATTTATTCATACCTGTCGATCATTTCTCGCAAGTAAAACAATTTGGTCAGCCAGATCATCCGTGCTTTCTATTTTGACATATATTTCCCGTTAATCTCTTTGAAACAATTGTTTTTTTTTTACAATATTTATAACGCCGTGATCATCTTTTGATTCCTAGTTTTTATATAAAAAAAACTTTTCATATGCACGTCAATATTCTATGACCCAGCATTATTTTAATTTTATTTTGTTTGTTAATAAATTTACATATAAAGGAAATAACAGATTTGTTGACACTCGTCGTATTATAACAAAGATATTGCCTTTCTATTTCCATGTTTGAAATTTTAATGAAAATCGTGTTTTTTATAAACATATTTTACGAATTGTGTCAATCAATACACGAAGATCAAAGTTTTACACTATTCATGATCAGCTGTGTTTACTTTTGCGTCGTATTTCTAGCCATTCTAAAGCTCGTGCAGTCAGTAAGATTTTGTAAATCGTTGTCGGCAGTTTAATGTATAATTCCCGAACTTTAAAGGAGGTGTCCGAATAAATTATTTAAATAGGAATCTGGGTGTTGACTGATAAATATAATAAATAAAATAGTTAAAGAAGACTAAAGCTTGTTTTGTTTATATGTACAAGGATTAAATTTTCTATTCTGGTAAATCAATTATTAATGGATCTCGATCAAGAGCCTCAAAACTAACGCACAATACTGCCAATCATTACGTATCAAATTAAATCATGAATGTATTTTCCCACGGTCGGTCAGTAAGGTCACCTGTGTTAATTGTTACGATATTTCCCGCCATATGAAAATCACGTGCATTTGACAAAATTAATCCCAGCTATTTTTAGCATTCAACATTTTATTGTGAGTGAAGTCAAGTTCAAAGTTCAACCACATGCTGTTGATCACTGATATGTGCATCATGGAATTGTCTTTTCACGGCAAATATTTATTTTAGTTCAAGGCCGTAACTACCATTGAGGCAAGTGAGGCAATTGCCTCACTAAAATTTCGACACAAATTTGGTGTCACTTTTTTTTGTGGTAATTAAATACGAAATATAGTCATTTGTTTTTCTGTCTCAACCTTAATTTCTTCTATAACTTGAGTCACATCGTTCCTGTTAAATTGTTCTTCCCGGACATAACTCAGCATCTCACCGGGTTTCTCGATTACATTAACCTAGTAACGGTAATCATCATGGATCTCTGGTTAAAAACAGGCTCTTGCAGAAAAAGGAAAAGCGATACTGAAGGTGAGGAAGGAATAGTTCTAGTAAACTAACTGCTGTTGTTTGTGATCACAACAGGTGTTAAGAGTGCGAGTATTGAATATATTTTCATTGGAAGTAATCCAAAAACTATAAATAGACTGACAAATCAAGTACTGGAGCACCCGCACGGGAGCAGTCCTGTCTGCGTATTCATTTCCCCGTTTTCCCCAACTTTATTTGTTCTCTTTACAGATAAACAAAATATAAATAATATGAAAACTGCATGGATTAGTTTTTATCCATGTTTCTTTTACCTTAAAATTTTTAAGAACATCCCGTAATCCAATTTTGACATTATTGAGGGACGGTAGGACCTTTAAAACGTGATTTCGTGTTTTCTAATTCGGGACTACAGAATTTCGTGTCTTTTAATTCGGGATTTCGGGATCGGGCCCCCGGGCCTACCCCCTCATTATTCGATTCTCGATCTAAAATATCGACGAGTGTTTGCTGTGAACGTTCTTTTTCTGCCCTGAGACGACTGAAAACTTGGGAAAGAGCATGCATGAGTGACGAGAGACTGTGCAGTCTTGCCATGCTCCATGTTCATCACAATAAGGATGTCAGCAGACCAAATATTCTGAAACGATTTGACGAAACCGGCAATAGAAAAATTGGCAACTTCCAATTTGAATAACAATTGCTACTGAGTCGATGTTTGTTCTTTGTTCTGGCAGCAGACTCGAATTGATATTTGGATGTTTATCTGACATATGAATTTAGATAAAGTTGTTAAAAATTTGGTGTTAGTACATGTCTTAAAATATGAAAAATATATAAAAAGTTACCAAAAATAAAAACGATGTCAAACTCTCTGTAAATGCCCAGAATGCAGGATTTTACACCATCTATCCCAGACCCCCTGCCAAAATTGTTCGCATCGCTTCGCTCGGCTCAATTTTTTTCACCTTGCTCAACTCAGTGATCAGTTCTGCCTCACTAAAATAATATGCCTAGTTACGGCCTTGTAGATTGGTGTCAAAAATACAAGTTAACATGCATTGTGCGTAAATTAATATTATGCAATTAAGAGTCAATGCAGCACCATAAAATTATTTAAATGGGAGTAATTGCATTTCTTTTAACCCTTTCATACCGAAGTTATCCTTTTGGCACCCTCGTGCGCATGCCGAAATGATCCTTTTGGCACATCGGTGTAGATGCCGAAATTATCCTTAAGGATACCTAAATTTCTATTTTTAGACTATCGCAATCAAGAGTGCAATTTGCATGTTTTTACAACTGAGAACGTAGAATGGTTAAAACTATTTTTAAAACATATTTCAATTTAAGAAATAAAAGAATAAAACTACCAAAAATGTTGGCAATAAGTGTCAAATTTCGAAGCGTATCTGAAAAAAGTTTACGACTACAACAAACATGGCGGACGAGAATAATCCCAACAACATTCTCGTAAATTTGACAAAGAAAGCATAAAAAAACAGCAAAAAATAATTTCCTTTAGAACTTTACAACATATTTTAGGTTAGTCTATCAATTTTCAATCGTTTGTATGGTGTTTTAGATTCGAAATCAAGCCTCGTGGTGTCTGGCAGGTGCTCGTATTCCTCGATTTTCTATCACTTTTTTGATCGCCTCAAAATCAACTAAAAATTAAGTTTCTGGTATCGTGTTGTATGTCATTAAATTCCTGTGATTTTCAAGATAATTTTCAATTTTTTTTGTTAGTGTCGTCATCCCGTGTTATTATTTTAAGAGTAATAAAACCAACAAGCTAAAAATAGAAAGCCGGAAATTGATGTTGTTATGGAAAATATGAAAACAACATGGCGGAATCACGGCGACATAACTTATACCATCCGGAATAAGTTCATTTTTTCGCTTGATTCAATTTATAAAAATATTAAAACTATTTTCTTAGATGCTTATTAAATAAATGTGTTTATTTAGCGAAATTTTAGTCATCTTTGTGGGATAATTTTACTAAAAATAGTGATGGAAGTAAGTCTCGTCTCTTCGTAAAATATCACCCATAAAAAAATGTCGTCTGATGAATCCGATGATTTTGAAGGCTTCACCCGGGCAGAGGTCGACGAAGCTGAAGCAAGATATGAACAACAATTGCAATTTCAGGGTATAGGTGATGACACGGATGGTAATGAAAGTTCAGAAGGATCTGATAATGATATACCTGGACCTGCTGGTGATGCAGGAAATATTGATGGCTGGCATGAGGATTTTTCATATTATGAGCGGGGGTTGCCACATCTTTTTACACCTACTGGGAGAACTGGCCCTACAAGAATCATGCCTCAAGATAAAAGCCCTCTTGATTTCTTCAAGCTTTTCTTTAATCATGTCCTGCTAGAGATGCTGATAGAGCAAACAGACACATATGCAAAATTACAAAAAGAAAACCATCCCAATGAAAACAAGATGCCATGGGTGAGACCAAATATACCTGAGATGAATGCCTTTTTTGGCCTATGTTTCGAGATGGGTGTAGACCGCAAACCTTCAACAAGGATGTATTGGTCCACAGACAACTTTTTGCAATCACCAATATATTCCAAAACCATGAGCCGGGATCGCTTTACTCAGTTAATGAGATATCTTCATTTCTCCGACTCTACACAACAACCTCTGCCTGGCAATGAAAATTATGACCCGCTATACAAAATAAAACCACTACTTACACATTTTAATACCACCTTTCAACAGGAATACACCCCACACAGAAACATCACTGTGGATGAAACCATGATACCATTTAAAGGGAGGGTACAATTTAAGCAATACATGCCACAGAAACCACACAAATGGGGTGTGAAAGCTTGGGTTTTAGCAGATTCACAACAAAGTTATATCCAGTATGTGGACATTTATCCAGGACGAAATGCAATCCCCCAGACACACCTTGGTAGCAGTGTTGTAAAGAGATGCCTGGAAAATTCAAATTTAGTTGGTAAAGGGTACCATCTTTATACAGATAATTTTTTCACCAGTCCTGAGTTGTTTGCTAATCTGTTTGAAAACTTTGGTACCTATGCCTGTGGTACAGTAAGATACAATCGTAGAGGGTTACCTAAGGACATAATGTGTAAAAAACCTTCTGGTATCAACCTCCGTGGAGACATGAAATTCAGGCAGAAGGGATTTTTAGTTGCTTCCGTTTGGCGTGACAAAAAAAATGTGTACACTGTTTCAACAATCCATGACCATTCAACTTCACAAGTAAAAAGGCTCGTCAATAATGATGGAACTTTCACTAGACAAAATTTTGAATGTCCTAAGGCAGTAGCTGATTACACATGTAACATGGGTGGTGTTGATCATGCTGATCAATACATTCAATACTATTGCTACAACCATAAAACCTACAAGTGGAGCAAAAGAGTTTTCTTTGTGCTCATGGAAATGGCTAAATTTAATGCCTTCAAACTGTTTCTCATGAGTCCCAACCACCAAACAAATCTGACATTCCTGGACTTTTCCATTTCTGTAGCCAAGGGGTTGGTTAATGGTTATATTTCTGAGACCCGTAGAGGAAGACCATCACTTATGCCTGTTGAGAACCGTCTTGTTCAACGTCACATGCCGGCCTCCTTTGATAAAAAATCTAAGTGCCATCTCTGTTACATGAGAAACCGAAATAATCGCCAGGTTCCTATCAAGCAGACTAAGTTTGGATGTTTGAAATGTGTTAAACACCTGTGTCTGCCTGAGTGTTTCTCAAAATACCACACAGAGAGGAACTGCTATAATTGAGAGCAGTATATTTGTTGTTCCGTTTTTTGAAGTTTGTTCTGAATTTATGACAATAGTTGACAGTTTTATTGTTAAACTTTTTTAGAAAATGGATGGAAAAAAACATTAAATACATTGACATTTTTTTATAAATGAACTTTTGTGAAGGACAGTAGCTTTTTACTCAGGCAGACAAGGTCTCAGATGTAATTGAAAACCAGACTGAAAATTGTGTAAGTCTTTGTTTAATGTTGATATTAAACACTTTTTAAGGAGTCTAAAATGTTAGAAAATTATTTTTTATGACTCAAGCTGAATGTTAGTATGCTTATATAAGGGTAAAAGAAAGACAACTCCAGCGTTGCAAATGGGAATTCAAAATAACAGATGGTGTTGTCTCCCTTCAATCAGCCTTGTGTACAAAATGGCGGTCATTCACCTTCGTGACCGTCGGACGATTTTCAATCACATTTTTGAAAAAACAACTCGAACAAAATTTACTTTGTGACGAATCTTTTCAGACGGTACGTAGGCTCATTCTAGTAAACATCCATGGGTTAAAATAGAGAAATTATTGCCCAAACGCAAACGAAATCGAATGGACAATTTTCACTGACAAAACTTACGTTGAGAGATAGATAACACCATTTCGGTGTACAAATATAACATTACCTATAGAACGACGGTGTTTCAAGATTCAATAGGTCATTATAAAGACTACGAATGTTAATTTTTGAGACTAAATTCCCATCCATTCCAGAGATATGAGCGATCAGACATACGATAGTCATTTTTGCGCGGCACCTGTCAAATTAATTCCGGTCAGGCAATCGTCTCGTGATAATTTATTTCGGCTTAAAAATTCCGCGAAAAATAATAAATCAGGAGTGAAAGTGTTAATAGACTACAAATCATAGTAAATATTTAATTAACTGGTCATCAAACGATTGAATGCTTCTAGTTTTAATGTCCATTCATGTCAGTGGCAATTATTTCATGCATATTTAACAAACACAGAAATATCAACATAAACCTAATATTCCCAAGAAGAATCGTTATCTTCTTCTAGTGTTATTATTTGCGTACTACTTTAGTTATATATCACCAACTTTCGGACAATATTTGTTTACAGTAAAAAGTAAATTCACAATTATAAAGAATCACCAAACTACTAGTATACAAGTATTGCTCACTGTAATTATTTTTATTTCAGAACTGACCCAACGCAGACTAAAAATCAAATACAAATGTAGTGTTGTCAAACTAAAACATATGCAGCAGCACTTTGCACATCATTCTGCTAATCAATGGGTTTACGTGGAAAATAAATCAGTAAAACAAAAATAACCTTTCAGAAATAAAAAAGAAAATATTTTAAAAACTGTATGCCAACAAATACGAAAAAGATACATAACAAAAAAAACCAGGGAACATAAAAAAATATATTTTGAGGAATATAAACAGCATTTGAAATATAAAAAGCCATAAATAAAAAAATAGGCTATTTTTGTTAAAACAAAGTTGTCTCCAGTACTTCACCTGTAAAAATATTTTATGTCAAATACGATTTAGAACTAATCAATAAAGTGACTGAGAGGTTTAAATCACAGGTAACCTGATTCTGAAATCAGTGAAGCGTAATAATCTAGTACCACGGATTGAGATGAAAGGACAATTATATTACCGTTCACACCTGGATCTGTTGATTAATGACCATACTACCTACCATAAAAAAGTCGGATTATTCATTTCCGACATGTCCCAGTCCGTTATTTATAGTAATAAGTCTCTACCCGTACTGTATGCCTGGTAAACCTTATCAAGTGACAGGGTTAAAAGCGGCTTATATTACAACAAGTTGAACTGATTGAATCAAAGATGATGACTGAAGTACACATTTATACTATCAACTTCTCGAGCTATCAAATATGTCAAAAAATGGACCTGCCAATATAAATGAATGAACAATCTTTCCAAAACCTTATTTCGTCCTGAAAATCTTTTTCTGTGAGATAAATTTGGAAATAAGGAATGGTGTATCATCATAGTGGACTATTGCAGGATCACGTTGCAATAAAGTTGGATTGAGAATGTTGCAATCTGCATCTTTCAATTTAACATTTAACCAGACTCTGCTTTCCGCCATACATTTTTTTACCGTGACGTCTGTTGTGACCAGAGAGGGCAGCTGATTTTTTAGCAAATGAAGCATCTGGCTTTACCTGAAGTACCGACCAGCTCATTGGGGTAAAGCCCATGTGGCAAATGAGGTCCTAGCACCGACAAAAGGCACTAGAAATGCCTGAACCAAAAATTATTGTTTTGCAGCATGTGCAGTAGAAAATAATAAATTTTGATTCGTGAAGTTGAACTTCTTCTAAATCGATAAAAACTGAGGTCAGTAGTAATTAAGTCCTGCGTCTTTAAATTAGAACAAAATGTATATAAGGGATTTTAGGACACGACCTGATTAATGCCATGCCATAATTACATGCCTCTGACCATGCTGACCTTTCAAAACAAAACATGTTTTTCGAGGTGCCACTTCTTGCTTAAGGTTCTTCAGTTGGGTTTACTCTTGTATTGATGCATTACGTAAATAATTTAATTCTTAAAAAGGATAACCGGAAGCACTGAAAAATAATAGACAGTGACAACAGAACACACAAATCATGAACACTTGTCGCCTCAGAAAAAATTCAAAGACGAACAACACATGGTCCAGATTGCCAGATAATCTGTTTTAAACTGTATTCTAATATTTTAATTTTAGCTGTAGCTGATGCTATAAGAACAAGTCTTGGACCAAGAGGGATGGACAAAATGGTGAGTTTATTATTATTTATGCCACATGTAATTTATTTTGTTTGATTATTTTTTGAGGTTGAAATTTTAAAGACACGTAGTAAGTTAATGTTTGATCCCAATTTGTTTTAGCTTAATTTTCTAAGGTATTTTATTTAATGTATATCTCCTGCTTTGAATGGCTGTTTGAGTCTATTGAAAGATTTTAGGCCACACTTAAAAAATATTTTGGTGTGCCCAAACACTATTCAAAGGTAGACACAGTCGGTAGGTAGGTAGGCATTTTCTCTTTTTTTTTTACGGCAAAGAGAAATTGAAGTGTCAAATGTTTTTTAGTCTTCATAGCTATGTGATTAAAAAAAAAACTTTTTCACATCAGGACAATAAAAGATTTTGAGTAGGCAGCTATTTTCTGGGTAGGTAGGGTTAGGGCAAACAAATATATTCTTTTTTAATTTTATGGCCTTGCACAATTTTACTTGTAATTAAAACTTTCAAATTTTTCTGACAGGTATGTCTGCAGCTGGTGGTTTTCAGAATAAAAAGTAACCTAATTAGAACAGTTTATTGAAAATAGATAACAATATGTTTTGTGAAATCTGATTAAAGTTTATTATTTTGGCATTATATATTGTTTATATAATTATCCCACTAACTTTAAGGAAAGGAAAAAAAAAACAATATGTACATTTTGTAATTAACACGTCTTCTGATTGGCTGAAAGTTTTTGTCTATCAGTTCAGACATAATTTTGTCGTGTGACCGTGATGTCAACAACATTTTTCCATGATTTACTCTCTAAAAATGGAATTTAGAATTAAATTATAAGGAATGACTAATATTTTTGCTGTCTATTGGAAATAACCTCAAAAATGTTGTGCACACTTTTAAATAACCCGCTATGCAGGTTATTCAGTGTGCACCACATTTTTTATGTTATTTCTTCATAGACAGAAAAAATATTACTGTCATTCCTTAAATAAGAGTACAAACTATTTTAGGAAACTTTTCAAGACTTGAAAAAGTGTACTGCAGTGTTGAATAAATTGATTTTCTCTTTTTAGATACAATCTTCCAATGGAGATGTAACTATTACTAATGATGGAGCCACAATCCTGAAACAGATGCAAGTTCTTCATCCTGCTGCAAAAATGGTATATTAATAACACTTTTGAATTCTGACTTAATTTTTTGGTGTGGCAAAATAATTGAATAATTGAAAAATGAGACTCCTTCCTGAAATAACATTTTGTTTTTGAAATGCCCGAATGGGTATAGGGAGGTATTATGGTATATCGATTCCCATCTGTCCACCCTTCATATAAAAACTAGAAAATTCTATGATAGATTTTCATGATTATTTGAATCAATGAAAGTAAGCTCCCTTTTGATTTGCTTTGGGGACATTTCAGAATTATTGGACTTAACACATCAGATTTTAGACAATTTTTACGTATCGTACACTAACTAGGTGATGCTTAGATCCCAGAAATTTTTTGATGAAAAATCCCAAACTACAAAACAACAATGTTATGCTGACAATAGTTGTTCATGTATCTTCTAAATATTATTTAGCTTTTCTCATTAGAGAGTTTATGAATATTTCAGTTGGTAGAACTTTCAAAAGCACAGGATGTAGAAGCTGGTGATGGTACCACATCGGTGTGTGTGATTGCTGGTAGTTTGTTAGATGCTTGTCACAATCTCTTGGCAAAAGGTCAGTTTATTTCCATTGGTATTTACTATCATGACTATTCATTATTGTTGCTTAAATTGACTTTTGAGTTGTGTTTTAAAGAATCAGCAGAAACTGAAAATATAGTCATTCAAATATTTTAATGAAATGTATTTATCATTTGGCAAAAAAAAAATATATATATATATATATATATTATGATCAAAAAGTACCCAATTTTAAAACCTCCTGCAAAAAATAGCACTTTTGCATATGGGGATTTTATGTCTAACAGTAAAGACAACTTTTACCAGTACTGAAAAAAATGGTTCAGGGTTGGCGACTAAATATAGGGTAGATTAGGTAATCATGTACATGCATACAGGGTTTGAAATTAGCAGGGGCCCACTCGTCAATGGCCCCTAAAATTTGGTGTGGGCTATTAAAATTTCTGCTTTTCTTGTGTAGAACTATATATATTGGCTACCAAAATTAAGCTGTGGGCTACCATGCCAAAATTTTAACTTCAATCCCTGGCATACATTTTTCTTTGGCCTCTGCATTGCCAAAATCTTTTATAGTTTTGATACTTGAGAGCTAGATTTGGTATTTAAGGGTACGTCAATGTGGAAAAAATTGGGTAATGTTTATACTAGCTATCAGCAAATAAAGATAAGAATAAGTTAATTGTAGTGGCATTTCCAACTTTATGTAGGGGTATTAAAGCCATAGAAATTTCTTATCCAAATCTGCCATTTACAAGGCAGGTCCAAGTCAGTAACTCGTATGTTTTATGAAAGAATGCTTCCTCAGTTTTCTACTATAAAAATTTGCTAAAAGATAAATAGCATTAAATAATTTGTAAAATAATGACTTTTCTTTATTCTGTTACCTTCAGGAATCCATCCAACAAGTATATCTGAGGCATTCCAAAAAGCATCAGACAAAGCTATAAAGATACTGCAGGGTATTGCTACACCAGTAAAATTATCTGATAGAGAATCTTTATTGAAAAGTGCATCAACATCATTAAATTCTAAGGTAAGTAAAGCACAAGAAATTGTTATTTTTTTACTGCATTAGATTCAAAAGATTTCTTTTTCTTCAAAAAAAGATTTGAATAATTTTGGCAAAGATAAAGTTTCATTTTTCAGTTTGATGATTTCAAAAGTATTCAAAATATAGAAGTTAAAATGCTGTCTTGTCGGACATCTTTCAAAAGAAAATATCAAATGCAACACTTGAATTTTCTGATATTATGATTGATAAAAAAGGAAATATTGAATAATCTAAATTTCAAGGTTTAAGAAATGGACTACCCAAAAATGGAACAGTAAAACAGATATTCCTGACATGGAACACATACATTCCACATGAAAGAGACTGACTAAAGAGGTTTAATGGTTTCAAACTTCTCACTTATGTAACAGTCCATGATTTTACACTAGTTGAAAAATGGTTAAAAGAACAAAACATAACACACACACACCAAAAGTATCAAGTGTCAGTGGAAACCAAAAGTATTGTCTTGAAATCAGATACTTACTTTTAGAAAACATCACTGCACAACATCCATCAAACTTTTTTTTACTTTTTCTGCCATTGAAATAAACTTATATTGATTATCATGAATGTAACAAATACTTGATTTTGGTATAGGTGGTTTCCCAGTATTCAAGTTTGTTGTCACCAATAGCAGTTGATGCTGTGATGAAAGTAATAGATCCAGCAACAGCTAGTAATGTTGATCTTCGAGATATTAAAATGATGAAAAAGTTGGGGTAAATATGTTTTATGTTTCTGATAAGGAGCATCTATCCATTTACTTAGGGTTCCAACCCTACCTTTAAATTTGTTAATATTTTATAGGCCATAGTCTCCCAATATAAATTACGTGTATACTCCTTTGAACATTTGTAAGAAGCTAATATTTTTTGCCTATAATTAAGGTGCTAAGTTACTCACTATAACTTCAGTCTGTGGAGTGTTTGGAACTGTTCCCTTACAATCAAAGGTAACTTCATCTGTTATTTCTATAAATACCATCCTTGAAATGTCATGGACAAACCCTGGTATATTTTGTTGCAAAAATAGTGGGAAGCCTGATGATGCATGTATCTAATTTACTATAATATGTTTCCTATGGACGAATTTGTCTAGTTTCACACAAATTCCTGGATTCTCCCTTTTAAGAACATGTATGACTTCTTAACCATGATATCTTGATTATTTGTAACCTAGTTGAGAGTAGAAATTGGAAAAATAGTTAATAAAACTGATTTTAATTTTCGCAATTCTTTTCTTTTTGATTGAACTTCCCATCTTACACACTTTAATAGGGTTTGTTATAAGAATAAAATACACAATAATGATTACACATTTACCTCATTAATTTACAGAGGAACAGTAGATGATACAGAGTTGATTGATGGATTAGTATTCTCACAGAAAACAACTGGTGCTGGTGGACCAAATAGGGTGGAAAAGGCAAAGATTGGTCTAATTCAGTTCTGTATATCACCACCTAAAACTGATGTAAGCTTGAAAACAAAATATGACACTTATCTAATTGGATTCTTTAAATAACTACCAAAAACAAAACACAAACTGTAAATCTCCAATGTATGATGGTATAACTAAAATCACAATAAATTATTTATTTTGATCTTAATGAGTGTTCAATGAACATTTCTGAATTTATCCTCTTCAGGTAAAAATTCTGGTGAACCGAAAATCTATAAATGCATGCTGAGCTATGATTCGAAAGTAGACTTGAACAGTCATAACCATCATCAGTGCACCATAAGTAAAGCAGAGAACAGAAATTTATTCTGCAACACAAACAAAAAGTTGTTTTATATTTCAAAACAGTGTTAAATCATAAATATTAAGGAACATACAATATGAAAATATGCCATGTCTGTTTTGATTTGAAATATAGGTTAAGAAAAATAACGATCATACAAATCATTTATTTCCAGATGGACAACAGTGTAATTGTATCAGATTATACACAGATGGATAGAGTTTTACGAGAGGAAAGACAGTATATCTTAGATATTGTTAAAAAAGTTAAAAAGGCAGGATGCAATGTTCTGCTTATACAGAAATCTATTTTAAGGTTAGTAATTCAAAGTATAGAAAACGCAGTGTTGCTACATTTAGATAGAGGAGAGATTTGAGGGTATCAATTGGCAAATTGATAATCACTGATTCAGTTTATTGCGATGTCTGTAAACTGAAAATTGTAACTGTCAAATATTAAATTGACGTCTGTAAATTTTCAAATGCAATTATGTTTTCTCCCTTCAAATGCATCAAAGAGAAAAATTCTCCTAAATCATGCATTTTAAAATCAGTCTCATATCTGCAATAGTGTGCAAAATTTCAGACCATAAATCGTCTTATTGATATCCTGAAACTTATTTGTGATATCCAATCAAAATGAATGATAAAAACAATGTAGCATTCAAATTAGGCTTGACAAATTATTAGTATCTTGTATACCAGATACTACTTTAACAACTTTTTTTAAAGAAATGATTAACAAAATACTTCTTTAGTTTCTCGTGTTATATTTTAAATTCGAGTTTTTATACATGTATATGGTAGTATTTACATACATTTACAGACACCTGATACATACTGTAAATAAAACTTACACTTGATCATGAATACTGAATTTGAAATGTTCTATTTTAGAGATGCTGTTAGTGATTTAGCTCTACATTTCTTAGCAAAGATGAAAATTTTAGTTGTTAAAGATATAGAAAGAGAAGATATTGAATTTGTTTGTAAGGTAAGACATTTAGTTGAAGAGATATTTCATGTTAGAGGTTTTACAGCATTTGCAATTGACTTTACGATCTTAATGATTCTTTAACTTTTTTGTTCAGTACATAACTCTTTATGTAGTTTTCCAAATTGGAAAAGAAAGTATATGGGGTGGCTGAACTTGATACTAAAATCTCTTTTTATATTTTGTGAAATGTTTACTTTCATATTAGGATATCTTTATTTTCATCCTGTTTCTATTTTTCAGTCAGTTGGATGTAAACCTATTGCAAGTATAGACCATTTCTTACCAGAAAACATGGGTAGTGCGGAATTAGTGGAAGAAGTACAGACAGGAACAAGTAAAATTGTTAAGGTAATTTTACTGTACAAATTTCTTTTTTTTTATTATCTACAAAACTGTGAAAGGTGTTCCCCTGGAAAAATGTGTATCATATTAAAGTACACACCATGATAAACAAAAAGAAATGCTGCCATACAATGACAAACAAAAGGAAAACAATATAATGCTACTACAATTTATATAATATTTGAAGTAGCAATGAGTTTTATTTGTATATTAATAATTTGTTTCACATTTTCAAATATAAATGTGTCAAAAGCTATGATAAATTTTATTTTTTATAAATGATATTTTCAAATAAAGATTAAAGAAAAAAACAAATACATAGTATATATTGAAAGGTACCTTCCAAGCCATTAAACAATTTTCCTGATCATAAAGTTTAAGAAAATTTGGTTGGAAATCGTTACAATGACAAGTTGTACCCTTTTTGGCAGCTAATTGAAAGTAGAAAATAAAGGATCTGAATGAAATGCAATAAAAAAGCACTGATATAAAATAATGGATGAATCGTTTTTTTTTTCTTCAGATTACTGGAATGGCTATTCCAGGGAAGTGTGTAACAGTACTTATGAGAGGATCTAACAAACTTGTGCTAGAGGAAGCTGATAGATCACTCCACGATGCCCTTTGTGTTATCAGATGTCTTGTCAAAGAAAGGTAGGGTGAAGATAATAAGTATAATGAATTTTTGATAAAAATCTTCATGAAATTATGATTTGTTAAATGTATGATTACTGACAGGCTGCCTGAAACAACTTTCAAGAAAATTTGAGTAAGTTAAGTTTCAATGACTGGAAATGGATTTTTTTTTCAGTACAGTGATTTGGGTTCCAACAACATATGTTAGTGGAACAATTTCATTGAGGACTCTTCAAGAAACATGTCATTGTATTGACCACACACGCTTTGTATAATACTTGCTTCTTGCTATTAATTTGGCATGGATATTTGTTAAATGAGGAGAAACCTCAGCCAAACCATTTTGTAAATTATGAGGAATTGGGCAGAAGGAAATAGATATTGATGAAATATAAGGAGGAATGACATTATGTTTTCATCAAAGTAATGCATTTGAAACTGATAATCTAGTCTGTTTTAGCTCCTTGTCCATTAAATAGAATATGCAATAAAACTTTTATATTGACCGTCTAATAAGAACTTAAAACAGATAATTTAACATGATTGAAATATATCACAGTGACCAACAGTTTAGTATTTAAATAATTAAAGTATCCATTTTGTTGATTTCAGGTTCATTATTGCTGGAGGTGGAGCACCCGAAGTAGAACTATCTCTACAATTGATGGAATATGCCAATACCCTGACAGGAACAGAACAGTATTGTTTTAGAGCATTTGCTGAAGCATTAGAAATCATCCCATTTACATTGGCTGAAAACGCAGGGTTAAATCCCATAGCTACTGTCACAGAACTCAGAAACAGACATGCTGAAGGAGAAATAACTGCTGGTATTAATGTCAGAAAGGTATGTCAATTAAAGTTAACTGCTTTTCTAGAAATTTTTGTACTGAAGGGGGGATTTGGAGTTAAGAAGGCACTTCTTACAAATTTTATGATGGATGGTTAACTCTAGAAATCTATCTCTAACATTATAAATGAAACACATGAAATATATCATACAACTATACTGTACAGCTATTTATTGTGAAAATATTCAAGTTGGGATTGTATTTTTCTGGCGACAAAAGTAAAGTGATTCAGCTTCTGGCTGCTAATTTTTAATTATACTTGATTATTGTACCTTGAATGATAGTCATAACCAGTTTTTATGGCACATAGATTGAACTTCTATGTCTGTTTCTATAGGGAGCAATAACCAATATCCTAGAAGAGAATGTCCTACAGCCGCTTCTTGTATCAACAAGTGCCATTCATTTAGCATCTGAGACAGTTAGAAGTATTATGAAAATTGATGATATTGTAAGTAGTTCACTTTTTTCTGTTTGAGTGCTAAACATAATTATATTCCGGTTAAAATCTGCAATTGTGACATGGAATGATAGACGTGCTAAATATAGAAGACACTGTTAAGGTGCAGACACTATAATGAATGTTGTTTATATTGTTGATCTAAAAAGGTTTAGTTGCAGATTGGTCAAGGTGGTTGACTTATTTTACCTAATAAATCAGCCTATTTCTGTATAGATCTCTGTCATCTTTAACAACTATTGCATATATTGAAGTCTTATTCAAGGCACTTGCATATATGTAAGGGTGATCTATCTTTATATGCTATGAGTTAGTCAGAGATGTCATTTGTCTACCCTTTTCCTCACAAAAATAAATTCAACAACATGAAAAGAATAAAGGTTTGGAAATTGAATTCAGAACTAACAGATAAAATTAAGTTAATATAAAAATAAGAAGATGTGGTATGATTGCCAATGAGACAACTCTCCACAAGAGACCAAATGACACACAAATTAACAACTATAGGTCACTGTACAGCCTTCAACAATGAGCAAAGCCCATACCGCATTGTTAGCTATAAAAGGCCCCGAAATGACAAATGTAAAACTATTCAAACAAGAAAACTAACTGCCTGATTTATGTACAAAATGATGAACGAAAAACAAATATGATATACAGCAACAAACGACAACCACTGAATTACAGACTCCCGACTTGGAACAGGCACATACAGAATGTGGCTGGATTAAACATTTTAGCGGGCGCCCAACCCGCCCCCTCCATTATTTTATGGCTGTTCCAGAATTAAACGTATCAGGACATGGGAGGCACTTTTTAGAACTCAACCACCCATAAAATAAAATTTTCATTTATAATTATTAAAAAATTGTAAGGAAAATGCAACCACCCATAATTTGTTGATTTGAGTGATTCCCATCATGATCAATTATGGAACAGCCCTTCACCAAGAAGGTTTGTTTCTCAATATGTAAAAAATTGTTACCATTGTGTCATTTAACGATAATGCGACAAAATGATATGAAAGAAATTTGTGTTTTTTATGCCCAACATTGCAATGAAAATTTTAACAAGTTTTATAATTATAACTTGAAACTTCTTAAAGACTGTTATATTTTAAATTTTATGTTTCAGGTGATGTGTATTAGATAATCATCCTTTGGACCATGCTGGTGGTATATAGATACATGTGACACATAGGACACTCATCTACAAACTCTCGTCATAAATCTATCATCCACTAAGTGTTCAGGACAAAGCTTTTTATATCCCCTTTATTGATGTGATCTAATGATAATTTAAAATAAAACTGGTGCCCTGTGTACTTCAGTAGGTTATATTTATTTACAAAATGAAGTTGTTTTTCCAGTCTGATACATTGTGAATATTTCACTATAAGTAACATTGGATTTAACATACAGATTAAATTCTTTCTAATCAGGTGGAAATTAGCTTGTGACTTGGGCTTTATTGTGGAATAACAAATTGCATATATTAAATAGTTACTGGAAATTTGACTTTTTGACTTTTATCAATACAATGAATCTGTAAATGTGAATTTCTTTATAAAAGTCAAGTATGGAAAGAGAAGTTAATGAAAAGCAGACATTTGTATACGTTTAGTGTCTAGACTTCCTGTTTTCTTTGCTTCTTTAATAGTGCTATATAAACTATACTTGTTCATTTTACTTTGTATCCATGTTAAGAGATGGGCATTATGAACAAATTTTATTTAAAAAAAGAAGAGGCTCAAATTTTTCAGTTAAGTTATAAACATTAAAATCTGTTTACAGAAACTTATGTATTGATACTATGAGATCTTAAATTAGTAATTGAAGATTCCTGTACAAAAGTTCAGTTTAAACAAGTTTCACACAATTTTATGTCTCGGATTCCAACAAACTTTTTATATTTTTCTTTTTTTTGCAATTCACATGATATTTATTATTTGTAATATACAAGAAAATGTGTGAAATAAATTTTGTACTATATCTTGTGTCTGATTTGTCTGTCTAATGTTCAAGGTTTTGTAAACATACAGAAAGATGGTCATGTCCTTTTGGTTTCTTTGTAACTGCCACATGTGGAGCAGGATCTGCTTGCCCTTCCGGAGCACCTGAGATCACCCCCAGTTTTTGGTGGGGTTCGTGTTGCTTAGTCTTTGGTTTTCTATGTTGTGTCATCTGTACTATTATTTGTCTTTTTATTTTTGGCCATGTCGTTGTCAGTTTGTTTTTCGATCTATGAGTTTGACTGTCCCTCTGGTATCTTTCGTCCCTCTCTTTTCTACTCCATCATATACCCTGATTTTCCGGTAGCAGTCCAAATTTCCAGGACCTTCATCTTGAACGGCCTCTAATACAGGACCTACATATTGTATTTAGGTATTGTTAATTTATTTTCGTCCTGAACATGCATGAAGTATTTGCCACTGGATGTTAAGTAATCAAGCTGCTTCATTAATGTGATACCCAAAAGGATTCATTTCTGCGAGGGTCTGGACCTCGGTTTTACAAAAATATTTATAGTATGAATTGGGACAAGTCATAAACCCTAAATCTATACAAATTATTACTGGTCTTAAATGGAAACAACCCTTGTGAAACACAAACCAATTAATAAAATATATAGCGGATACGCTTTTTAAAGAATTTATTATATTATAAGTACAAAAATATGACCTAAACAAATGGTATTAGCTTAATATGAATAGAAAGAGATGATGGGTATATATCAATGAGACAGCAATCCAACAAATGGTATTAGTTTAATATGAATAAAAGGAGATGAAAGGTATATATATATATATATATATATATATATATGTGTGTCAATGAGACAGCAATCAAAAAACACAAAGAACTAAATAACATCTAGATGTCAACAATAGACAGATGTCTTTACAATATCTAAAGATAAAAGGTTATGACTAAATTAACAAAAGTAAAGATCTCCGTCAACATCACATTATCCGTTAACAATTGTAACATACATGCTGAGAACATATAAACCAAAACCTTAAAGCTTTCCCTTTCTAGCTGAATTTAGTTTATTCTTTTGTTGTGCTGTTAGACCACTGTCCCAAGTTTGTGTTGGGGGGTTGATTGCTCAGTCAATCCCTCCAAGTTCTTTATGTGCCATTTCCAAGTCAGGAGCCTGTAATTCAGTGGTACTTGTTGGTTGCTGTCTGCCAGATTTGTTTTTTGTTTAAGCATAAATCAGGCTGTTGGTTTTTATGCCCCCGCCGTAGCGGAGGGAGCATTAAGTTTTACCCTTGTCCATCTGTACGGAAGTACGTACGTACGTCCCATAGCTGGTTTCTGTTCTCTAACTTTAGTTTGCCTCAACCAAATATTGTGAAACTTATACACATTGCTTATTATCACAAAACACAGATCAAGTTTGAATTTTGGTGGCATCACTTTAACCATTCTAGAGTTATGCCCTTTTCAAATGGAAAAATTGCTGAATTTTTCCTTTCTGTTCTCTAACTTAAGTTTGCCTCAACCAAATGTTATGAAACTTATACACAATGCTTATTACCACAAAATGCAGATCAAGCTTGAATTTTGGTGGTGTCATTTAACCGTTCTAGAGTTATGCTCCTTTACAAACGGAAAAATTGCTGAATTTTTCGTTTCCGTTCTCTAACTTTAGTTTGCCTCAACCAAATTTTATGAAACTTATACACAATACTTATTACTACAAAACTCAGATCAAGTACAAATTTTGGTAGCTCACTTTTACTGTTCTTCAGTTATGTCCCTTTATAACTTAATATAATATGCAAGCAGGGGCATCATCTGTGTCCCATGGACACATTCCTCATTTATCTATTTTGATTTGTTTCCTGATGGTGCCTTTTATACATGTCTCATTGGCAATCACACTTTATATACTTATTTTTACAGAAGTTTCCTTAACCTTCATTTTATGCTTCAATAACTGATAATATTGTATACAAAAGGTCAAAATCTGCACAACTACTAATCGAGGAATATACAACAATGAAGATTCTATTCTGTTTTTTTTTAGGATTTCAATAAAATTCTAGATTGTTTGTTTCCATTTCTTTTTTCAAAATAGTTTGTGTTTAACACCAATTCCAGTGACCATGACAATATCATGACAGTAAATTGTTATTGATTGAGAAGCCATAGTACCTGCAGAGAACCCAGGAAAACTTAACCTAGTAAATGACTTTCAATACAGTTATTTTGACATTTATTTGCGATGAAGAAAATCATCTCTGATGCAGTTCTTGATTGACATGTAAATAAACATTTAAGATAGTAACAGAGATCCACACAAAAAATGGGTCAGGTTTATCTACTATTTATCCAAAAGCTATTGAGAAATATATTATCCAGAGAAATGTCTGACAAATGAAAATACATATAAAAACAGGGTCACCAAGACCCATATTTTAACATGAACGACTAGTTCAAGGTCTCCATGACAACTTACTAAAAGACTTTCTTTGGGCAAAAAATGTATTTTCTGGTTTGATCCATTTTGAGAAATGTATATTGGAAAGACCATTAATACTTGGTATGCTTTCAATGCTTGTCAGTTTAGCCCATCATGCAGAGCCCTGATAAGTTTGGTTTTTATGACTGAAAATTTAACATTGTTTTTCTAATGATTGCAGTTGTCAAAATTGTTGTGAGAGACCAATGTTATAATGTATGTGGATTCATTATTATTGGTTGGATACCAATTTTCATGGATTTGGTGCTTAAAGAGGAACCACAAATTAAAAATGTTTTGTAGTTGAGATGAGTTGAGCCCTTTTCAACTGATTTTTATACGACCGCAAAAAAAATTTTGTGCTCGTATATTGGTATGACGTTGGCGTCGTCGTTGTCGTCCAAAGACACATTAGTTTTCGCACTCTAACTTTAGTTTAAGTGAATGGATCTCAATGAAATTTTACCATAAGGTTCAATACCACAAAAGGAAGGTGGGGATTGATTTTAGGGGTTATGGTACCTACAGTTAAGGAATTAGGGGCAAAAAAGGGGCCAAAAATAAGCATTTTTGTAACTTCCAGACATAACTTGTGTGTAAATGTATGGATCTCTCTGACATTGTACCACAAGGTTCCATATCACAAAGGGAATGCTGGGATTGATTTTGGGGGTAATTGCCTCCAAATTTTAGGAATTAGGGGCCAAAAAGGGGCAAAAAACAAGCATTTTTCTAGTTTCATGACAATAACTTTTGTGTAAGTGTATGTATCTCTCTGACATTGTATCACAAGGTTCCGTATCACAAAGGGAATGCTGGGTATGATTTTGGGGGTAATTGCCTCCAAATTTTAGGAATTAGGGGCCAAAAAGGGGCAAAAAACAAGCATTTTTCTAGTTTCATGACACTAACTTATTTGTAAGTGTATGGATCTTTATGAAATTGTACAAGGTTCCATATCACAAAGGGAAAGCTGGAATTGAGTTTGGGGGTAATTGCCCAAAAAGGTTAGGAATAAGGGGCCAAAAATAAGCATTTTTCTAGTTTCCAGACAATAACTTGTGTTCAAATGTATGGATCTCTCTGAAATTGTACTGCAAGGTACCATACCACAAAGGGAAGGCTGGGATTGATTTTGGGGGGTAATTCCCTCAAAATTTTAGTAATTAGGGGCCATCAAAGGGCAAAAAAAACAAGCATTTTTCTAGTTTCAGGACAATAACTTGTGTGTAAGTGTATGGATCTTTATGAAATTGTACTGCAAGGTTCCATATCACAAAGGAAAAGCTGGGTTTGAGTTTGGGGGTAATTGCCCTAAACGTTTAGGAATTTGGGGCCAAAAAACAAGCATTTTTCTAGTTTCCAGACAATAACTTGTGTTCAAGTGTATGGATCTCTCTGAAATTGTACTGCAAGGTACCATGCCACAAAGGGAAAGCTGGGATTGAGTTTGGGAGTGATGAATCATAAGGGGGTTTTAAAAATTGGGGGGGATTTTTTTTTCATTTTTTTTCTTTAAAATTTTCCATTTTAAATTGGTTATTTCTGATTTATATATAAAAGCAAATAATAATGATATGGTTTGAATAGGTAAATTAAATATTTTTAAGTTCTTAGACCACTTTCATTCTGTGTGAGAAACCTATGCTGTGTCAAATATTTAATTACAATCCAAATTCAGTGCTGTATCAAGCTTGAATGTTGTGTCCATACTTGCCCCAACTGTTCAGGGTTCGACCTCTGCGGTCGTATCAAGCTGCGCCCCAGCAGAGCATTTTATTATAGTTTGTTACTATGTTGTGCTGTTACACCAGTCTCAGGTTAGTGGGATGTTTGGGCGCCCACAAACATGTTTAATCCAGCTACATTCTGTATGTGCCTGTCCCAAGTCAGGAGCTTGTAATTCAGTGTTTGTCATTTGTTGATGTACATCATATTTGTTTTACTTTCATTGTTTTGTACATTAATCAGGCTGTCAAGTTTTCTTGTTTGATTTGTTTTACATTTGTCATATCGGGCCTTTTATAGCTGACAATGCAGTATGGGTTTTGCTCATTATTGAAGGCCGTAAGGTGACCTATAGTTGTTAACTTCTATGTCATTTGGTCTCAGGTGGAGAGTTGATTTTGGCAATGATACCACATCTTATTTTTATAAATAGGAATATATGCAGACTTTGGCAAAACAATGAATTCAAATATCAACAAAATGCATGTTTTCCTTGTTCAACAAAAATTGGTATCCACCAAAATAAATGAATCCATAGTATTGCATGTGCTACCTAGCCACTCATATATTTCATGTATTATAGGAAGCTCCATACAATCCAATTGGTATTTAGTTAAAATTGAGGTTGATTTTTTATATGCCCGTTTACGGGACGTATTATGGTATACCGTTGTCCGTCTGTCCGTCGTCACCAACTTGCAAGAAATTGTGGTGAATTGTTTATATCTATTGACATGAGCTCCCTTTTTATTTTTATATATATTTTAGATTTTACGTTTCTGAGTTACAGGGTTTTATTCATAAAAAAAGGGGGATTTTCCAGTTTTCGGACAAAAAATCAAAAATGCTTTCAGCAGTTCTTATGAAACTTTCGTGAATTGTTTATATCTATTGATGTAAGCTCCATTTAGAATTTTATAAATTTTTCATTTATCATTTCTGAGGTATGGGGTTTTATTCATTAAAAAAGGGGGGATTTTCCAGATTTCGGACAATAACTCAAAAATGCTGTCAGCAATTCTCATGAAACTTTGGTGAATTGTTTATATCTATTGATGTAAGCTCCCTTTACATTTTCATAAATTTCTAATATGACATTGAGAATTAATTGAACTTTATTTGTTTATAGTCTGACAACAGATTTACTAAGTATTGCACAACAGCACAGTGTATTGCACAACAGCACAGTGTATTGCACAACAGCAAGAAATCTTTAATTGAATATAAATTCAATTCATATAACCAATTTCAAGTTCTTTGACTACATTTATTCAGAAACCTATAATATGTCAAATATTTAATTACAATCCAAATTCAGACCTGTATCAAGCTTGAATATTGTGTCCATTTTTGCCCCAACTGTTCAGAGTTGGACCTCTGCGGGCGTATCCAGCTGCGCTCAGCGAAGCAGTTTATTTTCTGTTTTGAAACTGTCATGCTAGGGTCTTTTAAAGCTTAGTATATGGTAATGCTTTTGCTAATGGTTGAAAGCCATACAGTAACCTATAGTTGTTTACATCTTCGACTTTGGTTGATAGTTTTCCTATTGACAATCATACACATCTCTTTATTTTTATATCACCACATTTTGAATTTTTACAATGTTCAAATGATATTTCATTGCTGTTGCACAAAGTCTCAATAAAGTGACATTTTATGAAAATATCTGTATTAACAACAAATAGGAATTGAAGACTGAAGATTGGCTAGTATATTTTTCAAACACAATTTTGTCTTAGCTGTGACAAGTTGCAATATTGCAAGAAGTACATATGCTTATCTAGCTATTGTGGTCCTAGGAACAACTTAGAAAGTAAAAGAGGTACACAATCCATATTTTGTTAATTTATCACCTGAAGTTATATCCTTATACTAATTTTTTATGATTCAATTAAATGAGGATCTACAACGTATGCCACAAGTCACTCGAGCATGCTATTTTTTTTGGTGAGAATTAGGTCCTTTGCTTTTTGGTTTTTTTTTGCTGTGAATATACTGATTTTGTGTCATGGATGGATACCCCATATCCTTTCTTTTCTATTATTTGATCAAGAGAATCATTGCATCTGAAAGTAATTCTATGGATGCCTTCAACTTTGTTCAGGAGAACTAATAATAACTGCATCTTCTTATATCTATATACATCATTAACCTGTACCAAAAAACTAAAAGCTAAGAGAATCAATCCAGAAGACATGAAATATGGCCAATCCACATCTCTTCAGTCTTCACATGCCAAAAATATTTTGATGTGTTTTAGAAAAATCCAACTTAAATAACAGAAATTCCAGTGCACATACGTTTGTAAACAATGCATTAGGGATGTAAAAACAACAATGTTTCTTGTCTTCTGTTAAGTGGGAGGTGACATGGTATCAGTTTAAAGTTGTTCTCATTATTTTCACTCAGTTACTATGCAGACAAAGCAAATCAAGTCATAAAAATATATTTTTATCAAAACATAAATAAATTTAAGCCATAATATTCAATTATACAATCTTTTCTTTGAAAATAAATAAACTTCAACATAATATTCAATTATACAATATGCTGCCTACTCTGAGATATCCATTCATAACAGATATATACTAAAAGCATTTACTGGTAAAACTGATGAGCATTAGCACTAATGGGAAATTTTAAATGACTTATATTCAAATTTTTGTATACTTTTTTCATTTTTAAAATCACATTTATCAATTCTTGAATTTTTGCTTCCAATTTTTGAGAGCCATTCCTTCCTGTAAACAGAAAAAAAAAAAGATCTTGGTCACATTAAATTTTGTAAAAACAAATCACAAAACATTTTTTTAAAAGCTCATAAATTCTGTAACAATCTAAATAGAATTGATTGCTTGCAAGAAAATTATGAAAACATGAATGATTTATTTTGTAATATTTGATAAAAATTTGTTCTGTCATATATTAAAAAAAAATGATCACATGCAACTGTATATGATCTACCAACTGAAATTTAAATACTTTGCATTTTATAATTATGAAGAATTGAAATTAAAAAAATATATTTACAAATAGTAAATTAAATACAAAGCTCTGACTCCTTGTCCGGATTTAGCTATACTTTAGGTCTTTTTTTTGTTTGATCCACTCTTCAACATTTGTATTAGATTTTGGATATTCAAATATTTTGGCCTCAACAATGCTCAAGCATCACTGAAGAGACATTTATTGTTGAAATGCCTATCTGGTGCATTAAAATTGGTACAGTTTATGTGGCCTTGATACATTCGTGTGACGCACAGTTCATAATTCTATTGTGATGTAAATGGGAGGTGTCCGTTGTTATTCTGTGGTTTACATGTTGTAATGTACTATTATATTATTTATTTATGTATGTCTCTGTCCTGAGTGTTCTTGCGTTTAGTTGTAATGTTGTCATTTTAGTGGTATTTTTAACATTGCCATATAGGCGGGAGGTTTGGCTAGCCATAAAACCAGGTTCAACCAACCACTTCTTAAAATGTGCTGTACCAAGTCAGGAATAGCAGTTGTTATCAAATAGTCTGTTTCTATGTATGTTGGCGTTTTTTTTTGTAGCAGTTCAGTGTTTATGTTGTTCTGTTGTTTTCCTCTTATAGTTGATGTGTTTCCCTCATGGAAATTTTACTTCTGGAATTGTTCCATAATGTTTATTCATATTACTGCAAAAGTTATGAATTATCTCCCTTGTTGAGAACATTGCTTATATTTTTTCACATTACTTGTTTGTGACTTAGCTTGTTAAAAGATATTTGTAAGTTTGTCTTGGTTTGAATTTCAATTTTTATACGGCCGCAAAAAAATTTTTGTGGTCGTATATTGGTATGACCTTGGCGTCGTCGTCATCGGGCGTCGTCATCGTCGTCGTCCGAAGACACATTAGTTATCACACTCTAACTTTAGTTTAAGTGAATGGATCTCAATGAAATTTAATCATAAGGTTCAATACCACAAAAGGAAGGTGGGGATTGATTTTGGGGGTTATGGTACCCACAGTTAAGGAATTAGGGGCCAAAAATAAGCATTTTTGTAACTTCCAGACATAACTTGTGTGTAAGTGTATGGATCTCTCTGACATTGTACCACAAGGTTCCATATCACAAAGGGAATATTGGGATTGATTTTGGGGGTAATTGCCTCCAAATTTTAGGAATTAGGGGCAAAAAAGGGGCAAAAAACAAGCATTTTTCTAGTTTCATGACAATAACTTGTGTGTAAGTGTATGGATCTCTCTGACATTGTATCACAAGGTTCCATATCACAAAGGGAATGCTGGGATTGATTTTGGGGGTAATTGCCTCCAAATTTTAGGAATTAGGGGCCAAAAAGGGGCAAAAAACAAGCATTTTTCTAGTTTCATGACAATAACTTGTGTGTAAGTGTATGGATCTTTATGAAATTGTACTACAAGGTTCCATATCACAAAGGGAAAGCTGGAATTGAGTTTGGGGGTAATTGCCCAAAAAGTTTAGGAATAAGGGGCCAAAAAGGGGCCAAAAATAAGCATTTTTCTAGTTTCCAGACAATAACTTGTGTTCAAATGTATGGATCTCTCTGAAATTGTACTGCAAGGTACCATACCACAAAGGGAAGTCTGGGATTGATTTTGGGGGTAATTCCCTCAAAGTTTTAGTAATTAGGGCCATAAAACAAGCATTTTTCTAGTTTCAGGACAATAACTTGTGTGTAAGTGTATGGATCTTTATGAAATTGTACAACAAGGTTCCATATCACAAAGGGAAAGCTGGGTTTGAGTTTGGGGGTAATTGCCATAAACGTTTAGGAATTTGGGGCCAAAAAGGGGCAAAAAAAAATCATTTTTCTAGTTTCCAGACAATAACTTGTGTTCAAGTGTATGGATCTCTCTGAAATTGTACTGCAAGGTACCATACCATAAAGGGAAAGCTGGGATTGAGTTTGGGGGTGATGAATCATAAGGGGGTTCAAAAAATTTGAGGGGGGGGGGGGATTTTTTTTTCCTTTTTTTTTTTTTAAATTTTCCATTTTAAATTGGTTATTTCTGATTTATATATACAAGCAAATAATAATGATATGGTTTGAATAGGTAAATTAAAAAATTTTAAGTCCTTAGACTACTTTCATTCTGTGTGAGAAACCTATGCTGTGTCAAATATTTAATCACAATCCAAATTCAGTGCTGTATCAAGCTTGAATGTTGTGTCCATACTTGCCCCAACTGTTCAGGGTTCGACCTCTGCGGTCGTATCAAGCTGCGCCCCAGCGGAGCATTTTATTAAAGTGGAAAAACTTCACATAGCCTACTAATTTGGGATTCCTTTTATATACCACAAGCAGATTAAGTGAGTTTTGAAATGGAAAAGTACTTTCGCAACATATAAAAATATTCTAGGGTAATGTAAATATTCCTTTTGCTTTCTGATGTCAATGTCTGATCATTATCCTCAGGTGATAACTGTTTAATTAAGAAAAGAGCATTGGGTTCAATTTTTTCTGTTGGGACTTTAAGATTATCTTCATTTTCACAAGTATATTCATGAAAAATCGGTGTAGTATTTATTGTTAAGCTATAACAAAATAAACATAGTTGTATTTACCATGATACAAACAAGTTATGGTTGGCGTATATGAACAATATTATTAATTCAAAGTATTGGTTATACTTCTGAAAATACTGACCTACAAAACTCTGAACCCCTATTAAAAGACAAAAAAAAGATAGGGAGAAAAGACATTCCATCTAAATTTTGCTAATCAATATTTTTTATAAGCGTCATTCTACTGTGTTATATTTTCTCCACAAACTGAACCAGTAAATTTTCGTAGAACACTTGAAAGACTTACATAATTTTCATTTTACTTTCAGTTCCCTCACATGAACCCTGCACAGTTCCTTGAGGTGTGTTTTTTACCCATCCAACAATCCCAAGTGACTGTGCTGTCTTTCGAGTATTCTGTAATTAATCAAAACATTTCAACTTGTATATACATGTAACTATATTAAGCATGGAATATATCTTTTTTATAAATTATCTTATATAAAACAAGACATATCAATAAAAGACAGTAAAACTGTCTAAACAAAACCATGCATAAAATATATGTAAACTTAACTCTTATAGAATGATAAACAATGAATATTCTTTGGTTGTTCAACCTGTGTAAAATGAACAGTAGTTTCAGTTTATGCACCAGAAAACTGAAAGAGAAAAGTAGAATTTTAAAATTCATATCAATGATATAAAACTTGTAACACTACTATAATGCTAGAATCATTACTCATTCATTAGCACTGTACATGTACAGTATTTGAACTATAGTTTTAGGTACAGTTTCTTTGTTGTAAAATGGCCATCTGAAGCTCTTCCTGGATTTTCTTGCTGTGTTAAAGACCCATTGGTAGCCTTGGGCTGTTTGACACATTCCCCATTTCCATTCTCAATTTTTGCAAAGTTAAAAAAATTATTTCCAACAATGATTATGATGTTCAAGAACATTTCCACAACTGACATTTCCAAGACATGATCTTTAAACACAAAATAAAGATTACCCGGTAAAGGGCCGGTATATAAATAAAGAGAAAAAAGTAAAATAACAATTGATACCTAACTCCAAGGAAAATTCAAAACTGAAAGCTGGCTTTATCAAACGGCAAAATCAAAAGCTCAAACACATCAAACAATGGAAAACAACTGTCATATTTCTGACTTGGTACTGGCATTTCCAGTGTTTCTTAAATTTCTGGCTTTTATATAACATGTCATTTGAATGTTCTCTCTTGCACATCCAGCTTAAATGTTTTTCCTTCACATTGTAGTAATTATGTTTGAGACCACAAAACCTTCAAGTTCAATAAAAGGTTTTTAAGACACTGCATTTCCCCTATTTTCTTTATATATCACACAAGTCCAAGACTTCTTGATGTCTGATGGCCTGTCGGAGCAATCTCAGGCTTACATGTACATGTATCTCACCTCTGAAGTAATATTTTGCATTTATTTTCTAAACTATCACATTTTCTAACTAAAATTGTATTCATAATCCACCCCTCCAGACACACAAATTTTTTTTATTTAAAAACAACCAAAAATTAAAGCATGCAATAAATTTATAAGGTTGTTTAGATAAGCTGATAAAGTTTTAGTTTTAATTGACCAATGTGAACTCATTTGCAAGTGCTGATGGTATATTTCCCTGAATGTTTTTAAAAAAAAATGAAGTCTGGAAAGTTCTTTAACCTTAAATAGAATAAGCGGGCCGATCATCAGTGAAATATTATTAATTTCATAACAAGCAATATACAAAAAGCTCTGGCAGCAGTGTTCTTCATAGAAATAAGAAGATGTGGTATGAATGCCAATGAGACAACTCTCCATCCAAGTCGCAATGTGTAAAAAGTAAACAATTATAGGTCAAAGTACGGCCTTCAACACTGAGCCTTGGCTCAACATGTTTGATGATACATACTCCACAGGACATTGTTAAAAATACTGTTACATTCAATCTTGTTTTTTTGGAAATTTTAATCAATAAAAGTATCACACTTACCTTTCTGAAGAAAACACCTGAAAAAGAAAACAAAAAAATCATAAACAAAATAATTGACTAAAATAACTTTGATATATCAATCGCTAACTCATATTGTATCTCTTATGTCATTGTCAAATTTGCAACTCTTCTATTTCATCTGGCAAAACTGACAGTTCACATCTGAATGTAATATTTCTGAAGCACCTTAGATTTCACCAAAAATGTACAATATTTTCAAAGGAGAATCCAAACAGATTTCTTTAAATATTTAAAATTCACTCCTTTTAGTTCGAATATTACCTTCTAATGTAACAGTTTATTCAACACCTTTGACCTGAGCCTTAGGGATTGTTAGGTATCGGGTCCATTCACTTCCAATACACCTTCGCACCCCACACATGCGCCCCCTGGGTCCGTTCGCACCCTATTTTTATTGAAATACCATTTGGATTATTAGATGTGTTTAAATGTATATATCAAAATATCTATATTTTAATGAATAAAAATTAGGGAATTTTTAAATGAAATATCTTTGTTATTTGTGATTTGATGATTAACTATTAAATATTAATTATGTATGGTTACTGCTAATTGGTATTTACAAAGCTAAATTTGGTATTATTGTTCTGTGTTATGAAATATATAATGAATAACATTTAAATGCTCTATATCGTAACTGATAGCTGTAATTCCTTGTTGTCGTGGCAATGTCATTGTGACAAGTTTGATAGCCGTTTGGTATCTTCCACATTTCTTTTACAATTCTAAGATGAATGACCTTTGCCTTGATCATCATGACAATGTTTTATTCATTATTCATTTCGTTAAAATAATGAATAAAACACTAAAGGAAACCTGTTTACATTTTTAAACTGTCACTTTATTTTGAAACAATACAAAAAAAATTATTTATACTTGTTTCAGGTTAGGGTGAAGGTTGGCGCCTGTTAAAACGTTTAAACCTGCTGCATTTGTATGCACCTGTCCCAAGTCAGGAGCCTGTTGAACAGTGGTTGTCATTTGTTGATGTGGTTCATAAGTGTTTCGCGTTTTTTATATAGATTAATTAGACTGTTGGTTTTCCTGTTTGAATTGTTTTACACTAGTCATTTTGGGGCCCTTTATTGCTTGCTGTTCGGTGTGAGCCAAGGCTACGTGTTGTAGGCCGTACTTTGACCTATAATTGTTTACTTTTTACACATGTAAAAATGTTCAATACAAAACAACTATAGAGTGCAAACAGACCCAGGATGCGAACGTGAATGGGGGCGAACGGACTCAGATTCAAGGCAACATTTGTAGTGGAACAGGTAAAAAGTCTGAATTAACCATAAATGAGCTCCATGAAGGAGGCGGGCACCCTGCCCCCAGAGGCCCACCCCACTAAATCCGCCTCTGCAAACAATTGAAGAAGGCACCTACCCACTGCTGTTTATATTCTTTAACCCTCTTGCTGCCTGTAGTTTTTTATGGTTGCATTTTATGTGACAGAAAATATGAAAGCTCAACGTCTGTGACGTCATATGTGCAACAATGACGTCATTCCATATATGATGTCACACCCTAGTGATCGTTACATTTGGGACACATTGATGAAAAATATTACACTGTTTACTCTTCAGGATTTCATTTGAAAGAGTACAGCAAGGTTGAGAAACTTGCATGAATTAAAACATGGACATATGTGTACTCCGGCACAGCCAGTGTGTAGTCTGTGGAGAATTATAGTTATCTCGTACCATTGTAAACTCGTACCAATGTCAACTCGTACCAATGCAAACTCGTACCACTGCTAACTCGTACCACGGTAAATTCATACCATTGTATTAAAACTCATACCAACTTATTTAAAATTGAGAATGGAAATGGGGAATGTGTCAAAGAGACAACAACCCGACCACAGAACAGACAACAGCAGAAGGTCACCAACAGGTCTTCAATGCAGCGAGAAATTCCCGCACCCGGAGGCGTCCTTCAGCTGGCCCCTAAACAAATATATATACTAGTTCAGTGATAATGAACGCCATACTAAACTCAAAATTGTACACAAGAAACTAAAATAAAAAATAATACAAGAATGACAAAGGCTAGAGGCTCCTGACTTGGGACAGGCGCAAAAATGCGGCGGGGTTAAACATGTTTATGAGATCTCAACCCTCCCCCTATACCTCTAGCCAATGTAGAAAAGTAAACGCATAACAATACGCACATTAAAATTCAGTTCAAGAGAAGTCCGAGTCTGATGTCAGAAGATGTAACCAAAGAAAATAAACAAAATGACAATAATACATAAATAACAACAGACTACTAGCAGTTAACTGACATGCCAGCTCCAGACTTCAATTAAACTGATTGAAAGATTATGTCTTCATCATATGAATATCAGGCACAATCCTTCCCGTTAGGGGTTTAGTATCATACCATCATAACATATATGAGAAGAACATAACCCGTGTCATGCCAACAACTGGTTTTTAAATAAATGTGTTTAGTGCCGATGCAAAGACCCTAAATGCATTCAAATGGTGTTTAATGATGAATATATACTTTAATTTCACTCAATACCTCTTTAGTCTGTAAAATGTATATAATTTGAAATTACAATATGACCAATTTGTAGCTACCTATATTTCCGCACTTTCTGTGTTGCCATTTAGAACATACATCACACTCTATTGCTTCTTGTCAGGGTCTAACCAGAGAGTGGCACCGTATACAATTGTCGTCTTCCAATTTGGTTATGAGGAACCTCACAAACATGCCCCATTTTATGAGGAAAGTGGGCTTTGAGACAACTCATGTCAGCTTATGTTTTGATAATCAGGAATTTCATTTAATAATAAACATTATACATTTAATTCCAAGCTGTTAAATTATATAACAACAATCAAAATTTAATAATATGATTAAACAAGTTGATTTTTGTTAAAGTTTTCATTAAAATCTGGTATAAAATTCAAAGATATTTTAATTTATTGTATAAAGCTTAAAAAAAAAATCATAAAACATTCGTATTTTTGTCTAAGTTTTCATTAAAATCTAGTATAAAATTCAAGTAATTCAACTTTTTTTTATTAAGTTTACCAATATTTTTGAATATATTTTTAATGGTACGAGTTTGCAGTGGTACGAGTTCTGATTGGTACGAGTTTACGTTGGTACGAGTTAACTTTTTTGGTACGAGTTTACAATGGTACGAGTTAACTTGCTTCCTCTGTGGACACATGTGTCCCTCCGGCAGCAAGAGGGTTCAGCTTAATGCTTTTTGGATTGGATATATCTTGATTTCCTCGCTAATTTAATTACCTTGAACTTTTCCAAAAACTTCAAATTCAACAGAAATCTTGCTTTCTGCTTTTCCGCCGGTGGCCATTTGTTTACATCGAAACGCGATCCGAGATACGTTATAAAAACTTTTTTGATTGGATAATTAAATTTGCGACTGGTTACTAAAATTTGTGAACTTCACTAGCTTTAAACTTGTGTGTTAGTAGCAGTAGAAATTAATCAGTGATGTGTTGATTTCTTTGAATTATGAGCAACAAAAAACATGTTGAAGATCAATTGTTTAACACTGATAATGATCTTAATAATAATGATATTATCCGAGAGGGTAACACAGCTTTCTGTATATAAATTTCTCTCCTAAATATGAAACATAACAAGCAAAAATTGCAAAATAAAATACTTTAGCATGTTTAGTGCCATAGTGGTAGGGGTTTGAACACAGGCACTAATGTCTCTGAAATTTTTTACTTAAATACTTTGATATAGCATAAGGTACCTAACTCTTATATTTGAGAAATGTCACCCGACCACTAGCTTTGGTTATATTTCGATGTAATGGTTGTCTGTCCCACTGAAACTTATCTTTTTAAATCTACCTTATTAAATTATCTACAAAATGGTGTTTAACACTTCTATTTCTATTGTCGGAATCATTAATTAATGAACACATCAAATAATTTAAGCATAAAGACATGAAACAAAAGGAAACTTAATTGTTGAAACAAATCAATGGATTTTAATCGAGTTCATCTTTTTTACAATATAGATAAAGACAAACATCAAGGTGTCAGTATGTAATTATCAAATGTGCAAATCTGGTCTTGTGTAGATATAACTTTAAGATTAAGAATATTCCTCATCATTTACAGTGATATTGATTATTGCCCAATATTATTGTTATTCAGACCCTTGAAATAATTTTTTTTGCAGCTGATAAATTTATCATATCCTAATGCACCTCTTTAAAAATCATATTCTGTATTTTTCAGCCATCAACATATCCTTTGTATCACAGACTATGTTACAGCTGGAAAACCATGAAAACAGATAACAAGAAAAACATGGAAAAGAATTGGTATGAGACGAAAAATAATATTTGTTATTCAGCACAAGAAGGAAGATAATTGGTTGGTAAGATGATACAAAAAGAAAATATTGGTGTCACACTTTTGTCTAACATCAACAAAGTAAAAAAAGTGTCACTTAGGTATGCTGTTTCCTGTGGTAGCATTGGCATCAACAATGTATTAGTTTATGATTAGGTCAGTTTATGGGGAACAACTAGTGATAGGTCAGTGATATTTGGTATGCAGTTGTATAAGCATTGGCACATCACATTTCCATGGAGATTGTTTGGCTCGTCTCCTCAGTCATGGTCTTGATTTTGAACTTTTGCTTAGATTCCATGTATTAGTTTGTGATTAGGTTAGTTTAAAGGGAACCATTAGTGGTAGATCAATGATATTTTATATGCAGATGTATTAACATTAGCACATCTCTTTCCATGGAGATTATTATTTGACCCCGCCCCCTCAGTCATGATTTATTGACTTTGAATGTTTTGCAAAGTTTACAGATTAAAGTTTGTGCTTAGGTTTGTTTAAAGGTAACAACTTATGATAAGTCACTGTCAATGGTATTTAGCATGCAGTTTTAAACCATAGGCATTTCTCATTTTCATGGAAGTTATTTGGGGCTGCACCTCACCAGTCATGGCTCATTGACTTTGAACGATTTGCATAGTTTACATGTTTAAATATTGCCATTTTAATTTCAACATTTGCATTATACTATCAAAATTACAAAAAGTGAGACATATCTATGTGTCAACAGTTTATTTATTGAATATCAAAGTGTAGATAGTTTATTGAATATCAAAGTGTAGATAGTTTAGAACTATTTTGAAACAAATTGTATCCTCACATATGAGGATATTTTTTTTCTTGGAATGATCAAATATATTTAATTATTGTAAATTCAGAAATCATTCATTCATACATTTATTATTGCGATTTTGGAAGAATGGACAAAAATGTGAGATCATTAAGTGTGATTTCAGGAAAATGTGCATACAAACATATGTATTAGATATCAGAATGCATGTTTTTATTATTGCAATGCTTATTCAGTCACATTATTTCCATTAATAAAAATCTTTAAAATAAAATTTCTTAATTTACAGTTTGTGGATCCTGCTTTACTATTGAAATAATGCTCATGACAAGTATAAATTGAGTAGTGTCATTAAAATGGAAAATAAGAACAAGATTGTGGCTATTATGAAAAGAATATATACCTTGTCATCTTTTACAGATTTTCCTTTATGGTCAACAAAATGTGATGGTGTCCATAAAACTTTGAAGAGATGACTTAAACTTTGCCCATGAGAACCCTTAAGTCAATAGCTCCCTTGTACATGTTGTACCGGTAAGCAGCAACCATGTACCCTTTATTGTGGAAATTTTGGTAGGAAATGTAAGCCATGGAATGTATTTATATATATATTTCTATTGTATATCATTCATTTATTCTCAGGTACAAAAGTACAAAAGATGGATGTCAGATTACAAAAAACAGAATGGATTTCATCCTCACTGGTGACAAGCGGATGATGGTAACTGAAGTTATCACGATCCCAATATGGCGGAGGGGAATCCCTGTTAGATCTTTCCCTCTTAATTTCTTTGATTTAAATAAATGTGGCTAACATTATTCAGCCGTCATTTGGTTATTAACATTTTCAATGAGTCTGTAAAATATTAACCTTAAACAGTTGTCCATTACTTAGAAAATTGAGAGTGAAAAAAGTACGTTGACGATGGTAACTGTTCATGTTATTTTTGAAAGATCGTGGTAACTGATTTCTGGGATGGTGGTAACTTGCCAAAAGGCTGTATAAAACGACAAACTAAGTACAATTTTAGCCATGATATATGGATATATAAAGTATTATTACCTGTATTTACCTGAGTTTACTTGTCAAATAAATGCGCGCAAATGTTATCAAAAACTGTGCGCAAAAGTAATGATTTTTGCGCGCAAATGTAATGGTAATGCGCGCAAACGTAATGCCTTAAATTAATTTACGTTTCATATTACGTCCTATATAATGACCCATAGTTGAGTACTACATATCGGTATCAGGGGTGGATCCAGACACTGTGAAAAAAGGAGGGGTGATTTTAGAATATGAAAAATACGAAATGATTGGGGCTAACATTTTGTTTCAGGAATTTGCGAATTTAACTGACATATATGCCTAATAATTGTAATTAATATGATGTCGATTTAAAGGATATGTGTCTGACAAGTTTGAATGGTATGAAATGTTTTCCAGAGATTCCTCTCTGGTTTCACTTTAAAGTCGAACACAATTATATGTTTATTTCCTGTTTCTGTTTCCAAAACCTACTACATTGCTGAGGGGAGGATGGGGTCTGATCCCGAAATCGCGGGCTTAAAAGCTTAAAATTCAGAGGCCCCGAATTTAAAGAAATTTCAATTCCGACATCCTGAAATTTGAAATAGGAATTCCCGTATCCCAAAACAATCAATCCCAAAATTCTGAGCTTAAAACCGCCTAACCTCATAGTCCCGAAAAAAAGTCCCCACCCCATATTGTGATGCCCTAAGAAGCCATACTCTTATGGCTAGCATTTCTTGAAATATGTTTAACTTCTAATTTATCCTTCATAACCTCAAATTAAAGCTTTTTTTTTTTTTTATAAAACTCCTATATCTATCTATTCATTTTTGACAAGAAACAGGAATGGCATATAAATCTGTTTAAGGCTAAGTCTTTTGAATTTTCATTTGTTTAATTATTTGATTCTTTGTTGAAACATATATATATATATATAGTTTTTTAGTTGGTATTACAACACTGTTTGTGAAATTGTTGCATTAAAGAATGTTTCATTTTACAAAACATTTTAAATTGTTTCCCCGACACATTTTTATCTCTTGCGCTAGTATTGGTCTATACTCCAATATAGTGGTTTCAGTTAAGATGTGTTATTGTGTTTCATTTCATGTATAGTGATGTTAAACACGGTATGATCGAAAAGAAACCTCGAGTAATATAAAAATTACCATCATCTCCTAACTATTTTGATCGACAGTTACCATCATCCCATCTTAGAGTTACCATCATCATCGCGTTTTTATTGTGTACAATTTTTTCAGTAACGGACAGCTGTTTAAGGTTAATATTTTACAGACTCATTGCAAATGTTGATAACCAAATGACTGCTGAGTAATGTTAGCCACATTTATGTAAAAACAAAGAAATTAAGAGGGAAAGATCTTACGGGGATTCCCCCACGCCATATTGGGATCGTGGTAACTTCAGTTACCATCATCCGCTTGTCAACAGTGATCCTGGAAGGTTATTGAGTCATGGACTGATCTGTTGCCACAGTATGCACTTAATATATATATGGTAGTAATAAAGTGTATCATATGTAGCCACAGCAATGATTTAAATTTAAAATTCAAATATGTAATGGTATAAATTTATTCTTTGAAAATTTTATCACATTATTTATTTTGAGTTATCTCCCTTTTGTTATTGAGTAAAAGGCATTGATATTTTAGCATATGAATAAAAAGGAGGCAGCAATCCTAATGTAATTTTAAAGTCATTTAAAGGTCCTTATTTGGTATTGAACAATAGACAAGTTTCTGTATATTATATCAAGCAATAAATTTCCTACACAAAGCCTTTACTTATCAATTTCTTCAGCATTTTTACAGTTATTATACATTGTATATGTGATCAAAAGTTTGGTCATTATCAATAGACTATTTTCACATTACCATCTTTTGACGCTGGATTTCATAATTTTTTGACAGGTTACCTACTCTGTGGTAGGACATCCTGGTACTCGGTCAAGTAGAAGCAACCAAAAGAAGTAAAATCAAACATATATTCGATGCAATTTGGGGGGGGGGGGAATTTTACTGTTTTCCAAAGATTTTGTCGTGTATAGAAAACATAAAATAGTTAATTTCCCCCCTAAATTGTACCGATCATAAACTTGATTTTACTTCTTTAGCAAAATTAGGTTGCTCTTACTTGACGGCAGCGGCAGCGTCAACAATGTATTAGTTTGTGATTAGGTCTA